CCGACAAAGAAAATCGCTATAAACAAGCAATCTACGACGTTTGCGACATCCTCTTGTACAGATTAACCCATCCATGGTGCGTGGAAGACGCAGGTAACGTTGCCTTCAACCCCAGATTCCTCCAAGAACGTCGAAAAACAAAAATTCTACACCACTTCACCAAAGAAGTGATCCAAGAAAGAGAGAAGAATTTCAGCGACATCGAGCTACCAAAAGAAGAACACGACGTCTACAAAGGCAAGAAACGTCTAGCCATGCTAGATCTTCTTCTTTCAGTCAAACGCAACGAAGGAAGCATCGACGATGAAGGAATCCAGGAAGAAGTGGACACTTTCATGTTCGAAGGCCACGACACAACGTCTGTGGCCCTAGGTTTTACTTTAATGCTTCTAGCGAACAACAAACACGCCCAAGTAAGAATTCACCCCTTTTAGAATGTTGTAATTGTCGTCAATTCTAGGAAACCATTGTACAAGAAATGAGGGAAGTACTTGGTGACATTCACAAGAAACCCACCTACAACGAACTTCAAAACTTGAAGTATATGGAACGGTGTCTTAAAGAAAGTCTTCGGTTGTATCCTAGCGTGCACTTTATTTCGAGAATCTTAGGACAAGACTTGAAAACTCACACAGGTCATTTGCTCCCGAAAGGGTTGACCGTGGTTCTACATATTTACGACGTTCATCATAACCCTAATATTTATCCTGATCCTGAGAAATTTGATCCCGATCGGTTCCTTCCTGAGAACTGTCAAAATCGGCATCCGTATGCTTACTTACCTTTTAGCGCTGGACCTAGAAACTGCATAGGGCAGAGATTCGCCATGTTGGAAATGAAGGCTGCCCTTTGTGGCGTTTTAAGCAATTTTGTTTTAGAACCGATTGATTCCCCGGAAACTATTGTCCTTGTCGTTGATATTGTTCTAAGGACTAAAGAGGGCATAAAGGTCAGGTTTGTGCCACGTAAAGAAGAGGGTGACCTTATCAGCTAAAATAATGAGTTGTTTTATAATTGTACAAGTACGCTTTGTTTTTTTTTTGTTATCAGTAAATTGCAAGTTATTAATAAAAAATTCAAAAATTTATCAAGTTTACCTAAATCGCGCCTAAGTGTCACTTATAGATTTATCTTCAGCAGATTTCATTTGTTGTTGTAGTCGGTACTTAAATAGTAAACGAAATTCAACATATCTTTTTCGTCTAGATTCCAGTGTTTATCAATGTAAAACTCCGTTTTTGTTCAATAAATGAGTGATCAAGAGGAAAATTGGGTGGGTGGGCGGGGCCACTTTGAATTTTTATAAATAGATTCGGTCACATGACAAAATAAAATTTTATTTCCATCTAATCAAATAAGCCAATGAAATTCAAAACTGAAAGTGCGTGGGATTAGTTTTAAGTTTTGTTTAGATTACTGAATTCCACTGCTAGTCAATAAAATTGGTCGAAAGTTCTCTCGCTCCTTTAGTACAGTGAAACATATCCAGCATTTTTGAATGGGCGCACGCTCAGAGGCGTCCGTCACCGTTTCTCTGTCATAGTGAACTTTTCCACCTGGGATGGGTACCTGCACCTGTTTAGATTACTGCCTGATAGATTCATCCGCATTCGTGCTAGCCTGTTGACCAGTTCACTTAGGTTTAGTTTCCGCGTGTAAATTTAAAAACCACCCCCTTCTGAAGTATGCATGTTACGCTACTGACTTGACAGTCTCAAGGATCTCTAGTATTTTTTTTCAAAAATGAAACAACCTTGGCTTCTTTGTTGTTCTTCTTTTTAGACAAAAATTTATAAAGTTTTGGAATTCTTGGGGGTCCCTGCTGCTCATGAACATCTAGTATTTTGTTTTTGGAACAATTTTAAGGAATCTTGGGCCCCTTGTTGTTTTGTTTTTGATTTAAAAAAATCTCAAGGGCATTCGGTGTTTTGTTTATGAAAAAAATTGATAAAGAATCTCGAGGGCTCCTGGCGGTTTATTTTTGACAGAATTTTAAAAAATTTCAGGGGCCCTTTGTGTCTTGTTGAAAAAATGTGAAAGAATCTCAGGTGCTCCTTGTGAATGTGTGTTTTTTTTACAAAACAATGAAAGAATTTTGAAGGCTCCTGCTGTTTTATTTTCGAAAAAAGTTTAAAGCTCTTAGGGGCCTTTTGTTGCTTTTTTTTATTGTGAAAGAATTTTAGGCTCCTTGTTGATTTGGTGTGAAATGAACCTGATGGAATCTTGGACTATCGTGTTGTATTTTTTTAAATGAATTTAAAAGAATATTGACAACGCCTGGCATTTTATTTTTGAAAAAATTTTTAAAAACCTCAGGGACACCCGTTGTTTGGCTTTCTTAAAAATTTTAGAGAATCTTGGGGCCTCTGCTGTTTTATGTTTGAAAGAATTTAAAGATCGGCAAAGATCCCTAGTCTTTTTTTTCCCAAAAATGTAAGAACCTTGGGCTTCCTTGTTGTTTTTTAGACCGAAATTTAAAGAGTTTTGGAATTCTTGGGGGTCCTTCCTGTTTTGTTTTTGAGAGAATTTAAAGATTCGCAAGAGCTTCCGGAATTTTGTTTTTGACAGGCTGCAAGCATCTTGGATGCGTCAAGACGTTTTGGTCTTGAAAGACTTTTAAAAAATCTCATGAACATCTAGTATTTTGTTTTGAAACAATTTCAAAGAATCTTGGACCCTTGTTGTTTTGTTTTTGATTAAAAAAAATCTCAAGGGCATTCGGTGTGTTGTTTATGAAAAAATTGGTAAAGAATCTCGAGGGCTCCTGGCGGTTTATTTTTGACACAAATTAAAAAATCTCAGGGGCCCTTTGTGTCTTTTTGAAAAAATGTGAAAGAATCTCGCGTGCTCCTTGTGAATGTGTTTTTTTTTACAAAATAATGAAAGAATCTTGAGGGCTCCTGCTGTTTTATTTTCGAAAAAAGTTTAAGAATCTTGTGGACTTTTTGTTGCTTTTTTTTAATGTGAAAGAATCTTAGGCTCCTTGTTGATTTGGTGTGAAATGAACCTGATGGGATCTTGGAGCATCGTGTTGTATTTTTTTTAATGAATTTGAAAGAATCTTGACAGCGCCTGGCATTATATTTTTTAAAAAAGTTAAAAAAATCTCAGGGACACCCGTTGTTTGGCTTTCGTAAGAATTTTAGAGAATCTTGGGGTCTCTGCTGTTTTATGTTTGAAAGAATTTAAAGATTGGCAAGGATCCCTAGTCTTTTTTTCCAAAAATGTAAGAACCTTGGGCTTCCTTGTTGGTTTTTAGACCGAAATTTAAAGAGTTTTGAAATTCTTGGGGGTCCCTGTTTTTTTATTTTGAGAGAATTTAAAGATTCTCAAGAGCTTCCGGCATTTTGTTGTTGAAAGTCTTCAAGCATCTTGGGTGCCTCAGACTTTTTGGTGTTAAAAGACTTTTAAAAAATCTCATGAACATCTAGTATTTTGTTTTTGAAACAATTTTATAGAATCTTGGACCCCTTGTTGTTTTGTTTTTGATTTAAAAAAATCTCAAGGGCATTCGGTGTTTTGTTTATGAAAAAAATTGATAAAGAATCTCGTGGGCTCCTGGCGGTTTATTTTTGACAGAAATTTAAATATCTCAGGGGTCCTTTGTGTCTTTTTGAAAAAATGTGAAAGAATCTCAGGTGCTCCTTATGAATGTGTTTTTTTTTACAAAATAATGAAAGAATCTTAAGGGCTCCTGTTGTTTTATTTTCGAAAAAAGTTTAAGAATTTTGGGGACTTTTTGTTGCTTTTTTTTAATGTGTAAGAATCTTAGGCTCCTTGTTGATTTGGTGTGAAATGAACCTGATGGAATTTTGGACTATCGTGTTGTATTTTTTTAAATGAATTTAAAAGAATATTGACAGTGCCTGGCATTTTATTTTTGAAAAAATTTTTAAAAACCTCAGGGACACCCGTTGTTTGGCTTTCGTAAGAATTTTAGAGAATCTTGTGGCCTCTGCAGTTTTAAGTTTGAAAGAATTTAAAGATCGGCACGGATCCCTAGTCTTTTTTTTCCCAAAAATGTAAGAACCTTGGGCTTCCCTGTTGCTTTTTTAGACAAAAATTTAGGGAGTTTTGTAATTCTTGGGGGTCCTAGATGATTTATTTTTGAGACAATTTTATTTTTGAAAAACTGCAAGAATCCTGTGTGCCTCAGACATTTTGGTGTTAAAAGATTTTTAAAGGATCTCACGAGCATCTAGTGTTTTGTTTTTGAAAAATTTTAAAGAATCTTGGGCTCCCTGTTGTTTTGTTTTCGAATGGATCTGAAAAAATCTTAGGGCCTCTGGTGTTTTGTTTTTGACAGAATTAAAAAAAAATGGAAGTGTACATTCCAAAATTTAAGAAGGTAAAACCGGTATGAGTGTAAACATGGTAAACGTTATCAAAAATTTGTCTGTTCATCCTTTTTTAAAAACTGATGACGTCATTTTGATATAAACTAGCGCAGATTTGATTAAAAAACGACAAATATTCGTGAATTCGTTTATCTATTATTACAATAATGCGATTTATCTTGATCCTGGCAGATCTAAGGATTGTGTGGGACAAAATTTTTTATCTCGAAATCAAAACTTCGTTGACCTTGTGTCAACCACCTAAGGTGGAGTCAAAGTGAAATTTGTACCTAGTGATTCGAACACGAGTCTCCAATTTATCAAAATGATCCAATATTATCGTGGATAGTGTTTTGTTATGATGAGATTACGGTCAAATCACCCCGACACTTGAGTTGTAGGAATGTATAGAACAATGAATCTTACATCAAATTTTAGAAAAAGAAAGATCATCAAATTTTCTAGTTTTAAATTAAATTACAACCAAATATAATAAGTTGTAGAAAACAAACATTAACAATAAAATTATCAAAGAATGAATCTACAACTAAAGTACAATACTCTTCAGAGTTCACGAAATTTTGGCTGCACTTAATAGATAATCAATTGTACAATCGAGATAGTCGATAAAGAACACTATTCTTTCAAAATGAAGATAAGGAGATGCCAGTTTAATAGTTAAATAAGTAAACGTTCTGTGCCGTGAGATATTCAACTGCCTCAAAATGTTTCTTTCCACGCTAATCATATATTTTATTTGCGCTATCCTACTTTTCTATAGTTTTCCAAAGATCAAGGAAACCATCAGAAATTATATACTGGTGCATAAACTGGACGGACCTCCCAGATCTAACATAGTAGTCGGAAATATTACGTGCATACAAGGAACACCAGGTACAATTTTTTCATTCAAAGAAAAATAATTTACAAATCATTTTCAGAAAAAATATTCACTACATTAAGAGAACTGGCGCAAAATTTTTACCCCGTTTATAAAATATTTTCGGTTTATAAAGGAACCGCCAATCTTGTGAGTCCTGAAGACTGCGAGGTAAATTCCTTATTACATAATCTAGATTAGTTCTTGATTTTCATTTTAGTTAATTCTTTCCAATTCTGTTCATAATGAAAAAGGATACATCTATAGACTTCTCCACAGATGGCTCAAATTTGGACTTTTAACTAGTAACGGACAAAAATGGCAAAGTAGACGAAGAATCTTAACACCTGCTTTCCATTTTAATATTTTACAAGAGTTCATCTTGGTGTTCAACGAAGAAACAGAAAAACTAGTACAAGAATTGAAAAAGGAGTGTAAAAAGTCTTACATTAACATCACCCCGCATATAACACAGTTCACCCTAAAAACAATCACAGGTGCGAGTCTTTATTTTTGGAAGGCTAGATTGTGCATATGTATTTCTAGAAACCGCCATGGGAACAAAATTGAAGTTCGAAACCGACAAAGAAAATCGTTATAAACAAGCAATCTACGACGTTTGTGACATCCTCTTGTACAGATTAACCCATCCATGGTGCGTGGAAGACGCAGGCAACGTTGCCTTCAACCCCAGATTCCTCCAAGAACGTCGAAAAATAAGAATTCTGCACCAATTCACCAAAGAAGTGATCCAAGAAAGAGAAAAGAATTTCAGCGACATCGAGCTACCAAAAGAAGAACACGACGTCTACAAAGGCAAGAAACGTCTAGCTATGCTAGATCTTCTTCTTTCAGTCAAACGCAACGAAGGAAGCATCGACGACGAAGGAATCCAGGAAGAAGTGGACACTTTCATGTTCGAAGGCCACGACACAACGTCTATGGCCCTCGGTTTTACTTTAATGCTTCTAGCGAACAACAAAAACGCCCAAGTAAGAACTCACCCTTTTTTGAATGTTATAATTGTGGTCAATCCTAGGAAACCATCGTACAAGAAATGAGGGAAGTACTTGGTGACATTCACAAGAAGCCCACCTACAACGAACTTCAAAACTTGAAGTATATGGAACGATGTCTTAAAGAAAGTCTTCGGTTGTACCCTAGCGTGCACTTTATTTCGAGAAACTTAGGACAAGACTTGAAAACTCACACAGGTCATTTGCTCCCGAAAGGGTTGACCGTGATTCTGCATATTTATGACGTTCATCATAACCCTGATATTTATCCTGATCCTGAGAAGTTTGATCCCGATCGGTTCCTTCCTGAGAACTGTCAAAATCGGCATCCGTATGCCTACTTACCCTTTAGCGCTGGACCTAGAAACTGCATAGGGCAGAGATTCGCCATGTTGGAAATGAAGGCTGCCCTATGTGGCGTCTTAAGCAATTTTGTTTTAGAACCGATTGATTCGCCGGAGACTATTGTCCTTGTCGTTGATATTGTTCTAAGGACTAAAGAGGGCATAAAGGTCAGGTTTGTGCCACGTAAAGAAGAGGGCGACCTTATCAGCTAAAATAATAACAAGAGTTGTTTTATAATTATACAAGTACGCATTGTTTTTTTTTGTTATCACTAAAGTGCAAGTTGTTAATAAAAATATGTAAAAATTTATCAAGTTGACCTAAAATTCGCCCCTTTTAGTGTCATTTATAGATTTATCTGCAAAGAATTTCATTTGTTGTTGCAGTCGGTACTTAAATCGTAACGAAATTCTCCAACAAGGACAAAAAATTGATCGAAAGTTGTTACGACAGAACTTCCTTATATAAAACACCTTTTTTGTCCAATAAAATGAGTGATCGAGAGGAAAATGGGGTGGGCGGGCGGGGCCACTTTGAATTTTTATAAATAGATTCGGTCACAAGACAAAATAAAATTCTATTTACATCTAATCAAATAAGCCAATGAAATTGAAAACCGAAGGTGGGTGGGGTTAGTTTTAGGTTTTTGTTTAGATTCCACTGCTGTTCAACATAAAATGCACTTTTCGTCCAATAAAATGAGTGACCAAAAGAAAATCGGGTGGGTGGGCGGGGCCACTGTGAATTTTTACTTCCCGAGCGTAAGCAAAGGAAGTATTGTAATCGAGTCCGTCGACCGACTCTCTACTTTTACGTTTTCTCGATCTTTCATGATCCCTAGAAGACGGAGAAATAGGTTTCCCATTTCCGTCTGTCTGTCCGTCTGTCCGTCTGTCCGTCTGTCCGTCTGTCGGTCCAGATAATCTCCGAAAGTACTGGACCGATTGTTGTGAAATTTTGTACTTATATTAGAAATATGTAGATGGTAAAACGCTAACTAAAATGTGTCTAATCATCCCCACCACTACTGCCATGACGTCACTTCAACATTGTACATAGTAAATGGACTTTAAATTGTATAAAATAACATAGTCCTACGTATGTAGTTTACGACTCCGAATTGAGTTTTTACCCGAAACGTCCAGATTTTTGGAAAAAAAATCAAAATTATAAAACAACATTTTGCAATTTAATTTTAAATCTGCTAACTCGAATGCTTTGAAATGTTGCAGATGTTTTAAGGCTATAAAGAGGATCATAAATCTTTAGTCAAAATATATTTTGTTATCCCTTCCCAAAACTTGATGACGTCAGCTCAAAAGTTTGCCGAATAAATCTGATCTAAAATGTACAAAATATAATTAGCCTGTAGTTGTGATCTATCACTCCATTCATACTTTTTGGATTTGCATATACAGGGTGAATCAAAAAAATTAATGATTGCGTAAATTTATTTTACTGATTTACTCAGGAACTATAAAACCGAATGCTTTGAATTCTTGAGGATGTTTTAAAATTATCATAAGCATGGTAAATTTTTGATCAAAATGTATTTAGTCTTCCCCCTAAAAAAATTATGACGTCACCACAAAATTTTGCTGAATAAATCCTATCTAAAATGTACAAAATATGGCGAGTCTTCTTGTGATTTATCATTCCGTTCAAATTTTTTCGAATTGCATATACAGAATGAGTAAAAAAAAATAATGAATGCGTGAATTTATTTTATTGAGTTAATCAGGAACTACAAAACCGAATCCTTTGAAATCTTGCAGATGTTTTAAGGTTATAGAAAGCATAATAAATGTTTAGTCAAAATATATTTGCTTATCCCCTCCAAAAAATTGGTGACGTCAGCTAGAAAATTTTCCGAATAAATCCTATCTAAACTGTACAAAATATGATGAATCTGTACTTGTGATTTATCACTCCATTCATATTTTTTGGATTTGCATATACAGGGTGACTCAAAAAAATTAATGAAAGCGTAAATATATTTTATTGATTTACTCAGAAACTACAAAACCGAATGCTTTGAAATCTTGGAGATGTTTTAAAGTTATCATAAGCATGGTAAGTTTTTGATCAAAATGTATTTACTCATCCCCCCTAAAAAATTTATGACATCACCACAAAATTTTGCTGAATAAATCCTATCTAAAATTTACAAAATATGATGAGTTTGTTCTTGTGATTTATCATTCCGTTCATATTTTTTCGATTTGCATATACAGGGTGACCAAATAAAATGAATGCGTGAATTTATTTTATTGTTTTAATCAGGAACTACAGAACCGAATGTTTTGAAATCTTGCAGATGTTTTAAGGTTATAAAGATCATAATAAATTTGCAGTCAAAATATATTTGGTTATCTTCTGCAAAAAACTGATGACGTCAGCTCAAAAGTTTGCCGGATAAATCCTATCTAGAATGTACAAAATATGATGAGTCTGTACTTGTAATTTATCATCCCATTCAAATTTTTTGAATTTGCATATACCGGGTGACTCAAAAAAAAATGAAAGCGTAAATTTATTTTATTGATTTACTCAGGAACTACAAAACCGAATACTTTGAAATCTACTGCGAAAAGAAAAACATAATAGGCATGCAGTCGTCACGTTTCCGACAGCGAGGGAAGTACTGTCTAAACTTTTTAGACCAATTTTTTAAGCCTAATTCGCCATTTGACATAGTAAAATTCAGTCTTCATCTAGTCAAAAAATCCAATGAAATTTAAAAGTAGTGGTGGGTAGGATTAATCATTACGTTTTGTTGTTTGTCACTATAAAATTCCCCTTTTGTCCAATAGAATGAGCGATCAGAAGGAAAACCGGGTGGGTGGGCGGGGCTACTTTGAATTTTTTTAAGCTTCGATTCAACCACTTGACAAAATTAAATTCAGTTTTCATCTAACCAAAAATCTAATGACATTCAAAAGCGGACGTGGGTGGGGTTAGTTTCAGCTTTTTGTTTAGATTACTGAATTCTACTGTTATTCACTATAAAATCCACTTTTCGTCCAATAAAGTGACCAAAAAGAAAATCGGGTGAGTGGGGGGAGCCACTTAAGTATTGTAATCGAGTCCGTCGGCCGACTGTCTACTTTTACGTTTTCTCGACCTTTCATGACCCCTAGAGTACGAAGAAGTAGGTCTCCTTTGTATAAAATGACGTAGTCCTACACATATAGTTTATGACTCCGTGTTGATTTTTTTTACCTGAAACGTTCAGTTTTTTGGAAAAAAAATCAAAATTATAAAACAATATTTGCAATTTAATTTTGAATCTGCAAAACCGAATGCTTTGAAATCTTGCAGATATTTTAAGGTGACATGATAAATTTTTAATCAAAATATATTTACTAATCCCCTCCAAAAAATTGATTACGTCATCTCAAAATTTTGCCGAATAAGTCCTATCTAAAATCAATCTATACTTGTAATTTATCATTGCATTCATATTTTTTAAATTTGCTTATACAAGGTGATTAAAAATGTGCAAAATATGATATTTTTATCGATCAAATTAAGAACGAGTTACCCCATTTTCGGGAAATCTTTAATTAAGAATTATAATAATGATATTCAGAACGTTTTGATCCTATGTTTTGAGGGGACGAACTCATTCAAATCGAACTAATTTCTACGTGACATTCTTCCGTTGTATAAACACAAACACTGTCAAGTTGTTTTTCTTATCGAGGATAACCTAAGGACGTACAGTAATGGAATCCATCGGGGAATTTGGTACTTTCATATTTTCTCGATATTTCATAACCCCTAGACAAGGCCGTAGCTAGGGGGAGGCTAGGGTATGCTGAGCCTCCCCTAGATCTTAACAGGTCATAATTAACCAAATGTGAATTACAACATGGAAAATCAAAATAAAATGTAGTATTTTAGTCAATAAGTCGAAGTCAGAGCAATAAAAAGTCTGGACCGTCGGCATTGTTATCCGGTTACTGCAATTCATAGAAAACATCTTTTAGTTTAGTTTCTGTTTCACTCTCACGTCTACAGACTGATAAGTGTTATCGCTATTTGTCTTAAATTACGAATACCATAAATGATTTTCAGTTCAGTCTTCTGTCGCACCTCTCTTATTACATACGCCAGACATGATTAAATTGTGCGTATTAAATTTAATACTTCAAATGACCGTAGGCTTTTTAAGATGTCTAGAATTTACAACTTATACTATAGTAAGTGTAAGTACACGTAAGTGGGTGGCGAATGAAGAACATGTTGATTTTAATGTGTCGAAAGTTGTATCAAGTACAAAATAAAAAATAATTACATAAACAACTCAAAAAAATAGCGCGTGCTTATAAATAAATCTAAACATTATTGTTGATGGCTTGTGTGACCTTTCAGATACAAAAACGTTAATAAACATAAATCAAAAATAATTATTTAGTACAATCTATTATTATCAACACACCCGCTGCTTTTTTATTTATATTGTTATTTATGTTGACAACTACAGGACGCAAGCGCCAATTAAAATTCTAGACACAAAAGTGACTTACCACCCCTATGAAAATCGTGTTCAAATACCCTAACCTGTCGACAGTTTAATTACGAAGTTCTTCCTGAAACAAATAAAGCTGTTCATAATTTTCCATATTAGTGTCATCTACAGAGCAAGGTTCAAGTTGATGACTCTTACAACTATATAATCTTGGAGAGTATTTTGCAATGCATCAAACTATAAATACATCGTTTATTTCTTCAGAAGAGCTTTCTTTACTCTTGGTGTGGACTTATCTGTTCAGTGGTACAAAGACTTTCTTAACATTTAACTGCAACTTTAGAGTCTCTGATTTTAAGTACACGATGTTTCTTGCTGGAATCCTCCTCATTCTTATTTTTGCCTTGTTGTCGTTTTATTTTGTCCTGTGGGCACACAATCATATCAGAAACTATGTATTAATGCAAAAATTACCGGGACCACCCAAATCGAACATAATAATAGGGAATTTGTCGTACATTCAAGAGAAACCAGGTATGCATTTTCGCACTTACACACATAAATATACTTAATTCATTATTTTAGAAAAAATATTCAAGCGCTTAAGAGAGTGTGCTCAGAATTTCTATCCAGTGTATAAACTATTCGCAGTACATAGAATAGGGGCAAATATTTTGAGCCCCGAAGATTGCGAGGTGAGTTTTAATTATAGTTAACACTCTCGTCATATCCGTTTTTAGTTGATTCTTTCCAATCCAGTACACAACGAAAAAGGCTATATTTACAAACTGATACACAAGTGGTTGAAATTCGGTCTTCTGACTAGCAAAGGTTTGAAGTGGCAAATCCGCCGAAGAATTCTAACACCAGCGTTTCATTTTAACATCCTCCAAGAGTTCGTACACGTCTTTAACGAAGAATCCGAGAAACTCGTCGAAGAATTGAAAACCCAGTGTACACGCTCGTACATAAACATAAACCCACATATAGCCCAATTCACTCTAAAAACCATCACTGGTACGTCTTCCAGATTCAAATTTAGAAAACTTAACCCCATTTTTAGAAACCGCAATGGGTACGAAACTCGAGTTCATCGACAAAAGGGAGAAAAAATACAAGAAAGCCGTCTACGACATTGGGAAGATTCTTCTCTACAAAATGATTCATCCCTGGTGTATTGAAACCGTAGGCAGCTTCCTAAATCCCTGGTTCTTCAAGGAGCGCAAAGTCCTTAGAACGTTGCACACATTTACGCAGGCAGTAATCGAAGAACGGGAGAAGAATTTCAGCGACATTGAGCTACCAAAGGAAGAACACGACGTCTACAAAGGGAAGAAACGTCTAGCGATGCTAGATCTTCTCCTGTCGGCGAAACGCAACGAAGGAATCATTGACAATGAAGGCATCCAGGAGGAAGTTGACACTTTCATGTTTGAGGGTCACGACACGACTTCTGTGGCTCTAGGTTTTGCTTTCATGCTTCTGGCCAACAACAAACACATCCAAGTAAGCAAAACACCACAGTTTAAAATTCTAGTTATAATTGTGTCAAATTTCAGGAAAATATTTTCCAAGAGATGGTCCAAGTTCTAGGAGATGTTCGTAAAAAACCCACCTACACCGAGCTGCAAAATTTGAAGTACATGGAGCGGTGTATTAAAGAGAGTTTACGATTGTATCCCAGCGTCCACCTTATTTCGAGGACTCTAGGCGAGGATGTGATAACCCACACTGGACACTTGCTCCCCAAGAACGGTATTGCGGTTATACACATCTTCGATATTCATCGCAATCCTGAGATTTATCCTGATCCTGAAAAATTCGATCCTGATCGCTTCCTTCCGGAGAATTGTCAAAAGCGACACCCGTATGCGTATTTACCATTTAGTGCCGGATCGAGGAATTGTATAGGACAAAGGTTCGCTATGTTGGAAATGAAAGCTACTCTTTGTGCCATTTTGGGTAACTTTGTTTTGGAACCGATTGATACGCCGGAGACGATTGTTCTGGTTGTGGATATTGTGCTCAGAACTAAGGAAGGGATCAAAATTCGACTGGTTCCTCGAGGGTACAGACAATAATTTGGGTATACAGAGTTTACTTTATAATTTTTTTTAAGTTTTTAAAGTATTTAAAAATGAATTTACTGATTTTTAGTGGTAGCTATTTTTAAGGCATGTTTTGTTATGTTTAATATTAATGTTTAAATATACGCAGTTATGAGTGTTTTGTTAGTACTTGAACCGTTATCTATAACCCATAAAGTGGAAAAAAATAATAAAGAGAGTGCTGTTCTCAAACAATCTGTGCAATAATAAATAAAAAACAAAGACGCAGCTGCTGTTGCGAAGGAAGTGAGAAAAATAAAATAAGATAGAAGTAAATATTAAAAAAAAACTTCCTAAATGATAACCAAAGTTTACTTACGTCAATTACTTTATTTTGTGATAAAAAGAAAGACAAATGTTGAAGATAGACAGATGTTTACAAAAACGTGTAAAAAATTGCTATTTTTAAGTAGAGATATGTCTATCTAATCATATTATACAAATTAAAGTGATAACATGAATTTAATCAACGAAACATTAAAAGTTATCAGAACCTAATTGTATCTCTTTCCAAAAATCAGAACAGTGGAACCGGTTAGGATGAAAGTAAGATTATTCTTAATTACATTCTAATTTGAAATAATGTGGTGGAAATTTTTATGGTTAGAATCTACTTTCTTGTTGATATCGTTCACAATAAATTCCATTTTTAGACCTTCTTCCGGGTTCGTTAATGTCAACTAACACATTTACCGGCAATTTTGTGTTGGCAATTCTGAAATATAGGCATCCGTGGCTAGTACGTCAGTTCACAGTTGTCAATTTTGACAGACGTCCTGATTGGCTGTGACGATGGCAGTACTCATAAATGTTACTTTGACAATCAAGTACGCTATCATAAAATTTGCAATAGGTTGCCAACTTGACAAAAAATCAACATTAATAGTCACTGGGTATTTTGGTGACACCCGGCGCCTCCACCATATTTGACCTAAAAACAAAAATAAATATGAATGAATATTTTCTAATTAGAGCAACGGTGAACATAAATCAAGATTCGATAATTTTTAAAAGGTTATCTAAATTTTGTAAAATATACTCCTGTACTCGCGAGTTATGAGTGCGCTTTGATTTTTGTCACAATTACGTTACAAAAATTTGTTTGTCCCGTTTCCGTCTGTCTGTCCGTCCATCTGTCTGTCTGTCCGTCTGTCTGCCGTCCCGGATTTTTATTAGACAGATAATCTCAGAAAGTACCGGGCCGATTGTTGTCAAATTGTGTATTTATATTAGGATGATAATGTGATGACGTCGCTGCAAAATTGCACATAGTAATAGGTTTTAAATTGTATGAAATAACATAGTCCTACATATGTGTTTGCTCACCCCCTAGCAAATTGATGACGTCACCTCAAAATTTTGCTGAATAAATCCTATCTTAAATGTGCAAAGTATGAGTTAATATTTGTGATTTACTGCATTAATATTTTTTAGATTTGCTTATACTGAGTCAATTTATTTTATTGATTAAATCAGGAACGGCTCACTCCTTTTTCTTAGAAAATTTTGGGAACAATACTGTTATTTTTAGTATTACACTGCACCAATCTAAGTTGATATACGTGTCCTTGTTTTTTCTTGTGACTACTTTTCTTTTGTGCTGTAACGAATATTATCCAAGTTGATGTCGTTACAAATTTTTTATTGGTCAAATTAAGAACGAGTCACCCCATTTTCTAGAAAATGTGTAGAATCCGCACGTCTTTATAATAATGATAAATTAAGAATTATAATGTTCAGAACATTTTGTTCGATTGTGGTTTAATTAATAATTTTGGTCCTGTGTTTTGAGAAGACAAACTCATTCAAATCATACTAATTTCTACGTGACATTCTTTCGATGTATAAACATAAATAAACATTTGAGGGTCAGATTGCTATTACCTAGTGTTGAAGGACAAGAGTTGTTAGCGATGGATTATTTTAATTTCAACATGGTGAGTCAGCAGAATCTGACAACGGACTATCAATCAGTAGCGTTACAGGCACACTTCAGAAGGGGGTGGTTTTTAAATTTATTTTTTTTAAACAATAACCTACGGAAACATAAACTTAAGTGAAGTGAATCCTATTAAACCAATTTGAAGGTTTTTTAGACAGAACTTCCCTCGCTTCTGAAGTTTTAGAATCTAGATTTCGAAAAATCAAAAAATCCATTTGAAAATCAACATTCGAAAACCGAGATTTCGAAAAATCGAACATCGAATAATCCAAAATCTAAAAATCAAAAATCGAAGATCGAAAATTCTATAAATCAAATATTCGCAAAATCGAATAATCCAAAACCTGTATTTAAAAAAATCGATGATCAATAAATCGAAAAATCAAAAAACCGGAATATGGAACACCAGAAAATCTAAAATTCGAATATTGAGAATTCGTATAATTGAAAATCGAAGAATTGGAAATTCGAAAAATCGAAAATCGAAAAACCGGGAAATCGAAAATTGAAAAATCGAGAAATCGAAAAATTGAAAAATCGTAAATACAAAAATCTAAATCTCGAAAAAAGACATTTTGAAAAATCGAAAATGCAAATATTGAAAAATTTAAAAATTGAAATATCGAAAACCGAAGAAAAGAGAATCCAAAACTCGAAAAATCCAAAATTCGAAAATGGTAAAATCGAAAATTCGAAAATCGACATTTCGAAAAATGGAACATGCAAAAATCCAAAATCTAAAAATCAAAAATCGAAAAAGGAAATTTCTAAAATTCCATGGATCAAATATTCGCAAAATCGGAAAATCGAAAATCTATATTTCGAAAAATCGATGATCGATAAATCGAAAAATCAAATAATCGAAATTTCCAAAATCAGAAAGTCGGAAATTAGCATATTGAGACCAAGAATAATCGAAAATCAACGAATCGAAAATTCGAAAATCGAACATCAAAAAAACGAAAAGTCAAAAATTAGGGAACTATAAAAAATCGAAAATTGGAAAATCGAGAAATCGAAAAATTGAAGAATCGTAAATCGAAATTTTAGATTTTCAAAAATCGAAAATGGGAATATTGAAATATCTAAAAATTGAAATATCGAAAATCGAAGGATCGAGAAACCAAAAACTCGAAAATTCAAAAATCGAAAATTGAAAACTGGGTGAATCAAATATTCCCAAAATCGTAAAATCGAAAATCTAGATTTCGAAAAATCGATGATCGAAAAATTGAAAAATCAAAAAATCGAAATATCGAAAATCAAAACTAGAACATTGAGATTTGGCATGTCGAAAATCAAAGAATCGGAAATTCGCAAATTCGAAAATCGAAAGATCCAAAAATCGAAAAAGCGAAATTCGAGATTTCAAAAAATCAAAATTGGAAAATCGACAAATCGAAAAATTGAAAAATCCAAGTTGTATACTTGTTTTTTCTGGTGACTACTTTTCTTTTGTGTAACGAGTATTATCCAAGTTGATGTCGTTACAAATTTTTTATTGGTCAAATTAAGAACGAGTCACCCTATTTTCTAGAAAATGGAATCCGCACGTCTTTATATGTATAATAATGATAAATTAAGAATTATAATATCCAGAACATTTTGTTCGATTGTCGTTTAATTAATAATTTTAGTCATGTGTTTTGAGAAGACAAACTCATTCAAATCAAACTAATTTCTACGTGACATTCTTTCGATGTATAATCATAAACACTTGAGTGTCACATTGATATTATCTAGTGTTGAAGGACAAGAGTTGTTAAAGATGGATTATTTTAATTTCAACATGGTGAGTCAGCAGAATCTGACAACGGACTGTCAATCAGTAGCGTTACATGCACACTTTAGAAGGGGGTCATTTTTAAATTTATTTTTTTAAAACGCAAACAATAACATACGAAACCATAAACTTAAGTGAAGCGAATCCTATGAAACCAATTTGAAGATTTTTTAGACAGAACTTCCCTCGTTTCAGAAGTTTTAGAATCTTTAGAATCTTTAGAATCTTTAGAATCTTTAGAATCTTTGGTATCTTTAGAATCTTTAGAATCTCTAGAATCTAGATTTCGAAAAATCAATGATGGACAAATCGAAAAATCAAAAAATGGAAAATCGCAAAATCGAAAATCAAAAAATCGACTCGAAAATTAACATTCAAAAACCGAGATTTCGAAAAATCGAATAATCCAAAACCTATATGCAAAAAATCGATGATCAATAAATCGAAAAATCAAAAAACCGAAATATCAAACACCAGAAAATCTACAATTCGAATATTGAGATTTCGTATAATTGAAAATAGAAGAATTGTAAATTCGAGAAATCGAAAATCGAAAAACCGAGAAATCGAAATTAGAAAATTCGAAATTACGAAAAATCAAATTCGAAATTTCAAAGAATCGAAAACTGAAAAATCGAGAAATCGAAAAATTGAAAAATCGTAAATACAAAAATCTAAATCTCGAAAAAAGAGATTTTGAAAAATCGAAAATGGGAATATTGAAAAATTTAAAAATTGAAATATCGAAAACCGAAGAAACGAGAATCCAAACCTCGAAAAATCCAAAATTCGAAAATGGTAAAATCGAAAATTCGAAAATCGACATTTCGAAAAATGGAACATGCAAAAATCCAAAATCTAAAAATCAAAAATCGAAAAAGGAAATTTCTAAAATTCCATGGGTCAAATATTCGCAAAATCAGAAAATCGAAAATCTATATTTCGAAAAATCGCTGATCGATAAATCGAAAAATCAAATAATCGAAATTTCCAAAATCAGAAAGTCGGAAATTAGCATATTGAGACCAAGAATAATCGAAAATCAACGAATCGAAAATTCGAAAATCGAACATCAAAAAAACGAAAAGTCAAAAATTAGGGAATTATAAAAATCGAAAATTGGAAAATCGAGAAATCGAAAAATTGAAGAATCGTAAATCGAAATTTTAGATTTTCAAAATTCGAAAATGGGAATATTGAAATATCTAAAAATTGAAATATCGAAAATCGAAGGATCGAGAAACCAAAAACTCGAAAATTCAAAAATCGTAAAATCGAAAATTCTATAAATCAAATATTCGCAAAATCGAATAATCCAAAATCTATATTTCAAAAAATCGATTATCAATAAATCGAAAAATCAAAAAACCGAATATCGAACACCAGAAAATCTAAAATTCGAATATTGAAGCTTCGTATAATTGAAAATCGAAAAACCGAGAAATCCGAAATTAGAAAATTCGAAATTACAAAAAATCGAACTCGAAATTTCAAAGAATCGAAAATTGAAAAATCGAGAAATCGTAAATACAAAAATCTAAATCTCGAAAAAAGAGATTTTGAAAAATCGAAAATGGGAATATTGAAAAATTTAAAAATTGAAATATCCAAAACCGAAGAAACGAGAATCCAAAACTCGAAAAATCCAAAATTCGAAAATGGTAAAGTCGAAAATTCGAAGATCGACATTTCGAAAAATGGAACATCCAAAAATCCAAAATCTAAAAATCAAAAATCGAAAAAGGAAATTTCTAAAATTCAATAAATCGAAAAATCAAAAAACCGAAATATCGAACACCAGAAAATCTAAAATTCGAATATTGAGATTTCGTATAATTGAAAATCGAAGAATTGGAAGTTCGAAAAATCGAAAATCGAAAAACCGAGAAATCGAAAATTAGAAAATTCGAAATTACGAAAAATCAAAGTCGAAATTTCAAAGAATCGAAAATTGAAAAATCGAGAAATCGAAAAATTGAAAAATCGAAAAAATTTAAGAATTGAAATATCGAAAACCGAAGAAACGAGAATCCAAAACTCGAAAAATCCAAAATTCGAAAATGGTAAAATCGAAAATTCGAAAATCGACATTTCGAAAAATGGAACATCCAAAAATCTAAAAATCAAAAATCGAAACAGGAAATTTCTAATATTCGATGGATCAAATATTCGCAAAATTGGAAAATCGAAAATCTATATATATTTCGAAAAATCGATGATCGATAAATCGGAAAATCAAATAATCGAAATTTCCAAAATCAGAAAGTCGGAAATTAGCATATTGAGACCAGGAATAATCGAAAATCAACGAATCGAAAAATCGAAAATCTAAGGATCGAGAAACCAAAAACTTGAAAATTGGGTGAATCAAATATTCCCAAAATCGTAAAATCGAAAATCTAGATTTCGAAAAATCGATGATCGAAAAATTGCAAAATCAAAAAACCGAAATATCGAAAATCAGATACTCGAAAATTAGAACATTGAGATTTGGCATATCGAAAATCAAAGAATCGGAAATTCGCAAATTCGAAAATCGAAAGATCCAAAAATCGAAAAAGCGAAAATAGAGATTTCAAAAAAAAAATTGGAAAATCGACAAATCGAAAAATTGAAAAATCCGAGTTGTATACGTGTCCTTGTTTTTTCTTGTGACTACTTTTCTTTTGTGTTTTTTATTGGTCAATTAAGAACGAGTCACCCCATTTTCTAGAAAATGTAATCCGCACGTCTTTATATGTATAATAATGATAAATTAAGAATTATAATATCCAGAACATTTTGTTCGATTGTGGTTTAATTAATAATTTTAGTCCTGTGTTTTGAGAAGACAAACTCATTCAAATCAAACTAATTTCTACGTGACATTCTTTCGATGTATAATCATAAACACTTGAGCGTCACATTGCTATTATCTAGTGTTGAAGGACAAGAGTTGTTAAAGATGGATTATTTTAAGTTCAACATGATGAGTCAGCAGAATCTGACAACGGACTGTCAATCAGTAGCGTTACATGCAGACTTCAGAAGGGGGTGGTTTTTATTATATTTATTTTTTTTAAACGTAAACAATAACGCACGGAAACATAAACTTAAGTGAAGCGAATCGCCCTATGTTTCTATGAAACTTCAGACAATGTGAAGGTTTTTTAGACAGAATTTCCCTCTCTTCTGAAGTAAAGTCCAAGAAATCTTGCTCCTTAAACAAATTATAAAATTTTGGGGAATTTTATTTTTTATGATAAACACTATAAGTTAAATGAATAACAGTCACAGTTCAATTTGGACTTTCAGTCTGCATCCCTCCGGACAGGGTACTCTAAGCCGGAGAAACGGATCTCCAAAGTCTCTTTTGAAATAAATAATACTCCGGTTAATAGTTAAAAACAAATAAACGGTGTTTATCCCCACCAGGCTACAAAGGATTTATAAAATTTATCGGATATAGAAAAAATACAAGAAAGAAAATAGAATCTAGTCAAGGGCGTCCGGGACTTCTTTGGGTCCTGGACAGGCGGCGTCCCTGAAACAGTAATAAGTACTTACGGGTTGCTATGGTCGTCGGTAGTACCGGCACCATCACTCGCAGCGTCTGAATGTCTGTTTTCGGGTGTCGCGTCGGCGCGGCTGTCAAGAATTAACCCCTGCCCCTTATCACCTATTTCTTCGTACTCTAGGGGTAACGAAACGTTTGCGCTCGGGAAGTAAAAACGAAGTGAGGTCGTTTGAGTTTTAAAAACATTGTTTTTTCTGATCTTAGCTTATTTACAGAGAACTTAGTAAAATTTTAAAGTAATCACTTCGTTAGTTTTGCTGATTAAATAAACAACAAGAGATAATAGATCGATGAAAAATATATGTTCGTACTTTTGGACATAGTATAGCAAAAAAGTGATCATGGTCACGATAAAAAGTGCATAAGCTTAAATTTCTGGATTATAACCAGTTAACCTTGATGCAACTTTCGTGTCTTATTCAACTTGTTTCGGACAGAATAATAATTGTGAATTCGTCTGCTACTTTTTTTGCCTTCCTAATTTTTAAAATTATAATGTGGCAACTTGTTACCTTGACATGAATGCAGACTATTGCAAGCAGTCGGTGTAAATTTCATACGATAGTCGTAGCTGTTAAAAGTATTTACATATGATGCATATTGTTTCAAACATTTTTGCTTTAGTTTGTACATTATTTTTTGTCTACAGTTTGAAATGGTTGAAACGCAGTCTCAAAAACTACATAATTTTACAAAAATTATCTGGACCTCCACGTCAAGGATTCATTTTCGGAAACGTCTCGTATTTGTGTGAAAGTTCAGGTGAGTGGCAATTTTCACTTAAATAACCTGAATCAACGCACTTTCGCAGACGTCGTTTTCAAACAACTAAGAGAAGTGGGGCGAAATTTCTACCCGATTTACAAGTTCTTCGTTCTTCATGAAATAGGAGCGAACGTTTTAAGCCCTGAAGATATCGAGTTAATTTTGTCCAATCCCGTTCACAACGAAAAAGGAAAATTCTATAAGGCGCTCCATAGATGGCTCAAATCGGGTCTTCTGACCAGCAATGGCGAAAAGTGGCAAACACGCAGAAAAATTCTAACACCGGCTTTTCATTTCAATATTCTGCAACAATTCGTGGTGGTTTTCAACGAAGAAGCACAAAAGTTGGTACAATCAGTGAAACATGACTCTAGCGTCAACGTAACAGAGCTTATGTCAAACTTCTCCTTAAAAATCATTACAGGTAACATTTGCGATTCTTTTCTTTTCATTTTTTTTATATTTTGTATTTATAGAAACAGCAATGGGCACAAAGCTTGAGTTTCAAACACAGCGAGAACAAGAATACAAGAAAGCAATCCACGAAAGTGGCAAAATCCTTCTATATAGAATCCTCCATCCGTGGTTTATCGAAGATGTGTTCAATTTGTTTAGTCCGCACTTTTTCAGAGAGTGTAAACTATTGAAAACGCTGCACAACTTCACTAGACACGTAATTAAAGAAAAGGAGAAGAAATTTGAAGAAATAGGGTTAGTGGAAGACTCAGATAGAGGGAAGAAACCTCTAGCCATGTTAGATCTTCTTTTCCATGCTAAAAAACAAAGAATTATCGACGTGGAAGGTATTCAAGAAGAAGTCGACACTTTTATGTTTGAAGGACACGACACGGTTTCTGCAGCCTTAATCTTCACCCTCATGCTTCTGGCAAACAATAGAAACATCCAGGTAACAAAAAAAAATCAAAAAAGAACTCATCAAGTCATCAATGTATTCTAGGAACGCATCGTTGAAGAAATGCAACAAATCATCGACACAGAACCCACCTACAACGATTTGCAAAATTTGAAGTATATGGAACGATGCATCAAAGAAAGTCTTCGTTTGTACCCAAGCGTTCACTTCATTACGAGACATCTAGGGGAGGATGTAACCACCCACAGCGGATATTTCCTTCCAAAAGGGACACATGTAGCCGTTCACATTTACGACATTCACCACAATCCTGACATTTATCCTGATCCCGAAAAGTTTGATCCTGATAGATTTCTTCCAGAGAATTGTCAAAAAAGACACCCTTTTGCCTATATACCGTTTAGTGCTGGGCAGCGAAACTGTATAGGGCAAAAATTCGCCACTCTGGAAATGAAGGTTGTTCTGTGTGCCATTTTGAGTAAATTTATACTGGAGCCTGTGCATGCTCCAGAAAACGTTGTACTTTTAGCGGATATCGTTCTACGGAGTAAAGATGACATTAGAGTTAAGTTTGTTCCTAGGTCATAATGTCACGAGTGTTAAAAAATTATGTATTATATAATGATATAATAATGTGTAATTTTTGAAAAATGTTTTTCTGAGGTCAATCGAAGCTCGAAAATTTTTTACGAAATACGGTTTGTTTTGACGTTGAGACAGATATCATATTTACACTTTAATGATTAGCGTTAATTAAATTCTCTACATTATAATAAAACGCGATTGTAAAACAATTATCTGTGTGTCAAGGTAATGAAGTGTATCGTCAATGTGAAGATTATTTGCTAAAGCGAGGACAAAGCAAATAGTACAAGGGTGATAAAAAACACTTTGGTGGGGAGGACACGCTATTTTTTTTAGCAAAATTTAAAAGATTACATTAAAAATAGGCCTGCAATAGCGTACACCATATCTAGAAAAAGGAGGCAGATAGAAGACAAATAGACCGACAAACGACAGATAGGCAGACAGACGGAAACTGGAAACCTATTTTTCGCGAGGAAACTAACGCTACGGAAGTAAAAACGAACACTTTTGTTTAAATTAACAATTCTTCACACAAAAAAAAATTGGTCGAAAGTTATTTTCCTTCCTTGAGCACAAGTCCACTTTTTCGAAAATCATTTGATTGACAAACATAGAAAAGCACAACCTGAGTAAGCAACATTTTTTTCATATTGGTTTCACAATTGTCGCTATCCTTTCTCTATCTGGTCGAGTGATTCCTTCCAATCGCCCTACGCATGTCCAACTTCAACACGATTGTTTTGTCTATGAGTTTGTTTAGATATACTGTTTCACCGCGACGTACGAAGTCACGGATAAACAAATGAATGCATGTGAAATTCTTACTAATAAACTCAGTTGCTAAATTGCCGTTGATAGTAACTTTGATGTTCAACTTTTGCCGTAATTAAAGGGGCTGTAGAAGAAAAGTGGAGGATTTAAGTTCATTACTAATGTCGAAATAAGTCTACACATATCAAGAAAAAAAGCCAAAATGTAAGCCCCGCCCACCCGCCCTATCCCAATTGTAATGAATTTTTTTATTCGTCGTGAGCCAAGGGGCCGGAGATTAACTGCAAAATCCTTATTTCTCTACGAGAAATTAAAAACATGTTTTGAGTGTCGGGTTATTAAAAAAATGCAATGGTATATTAAAAAATAAAGCAAAATATAAGCCCCGCCCACCCGCCCTATCTCAATTATGATGATTTTTTTTTAAACGTCGGGACCCAAAAGAGCGGGATTTAATTGCAAAATCCATATTATTTCTATACAAGAAATGATCATATAAGACATGTTTTTAAGTATCGTGTTATTCATAGAATACTACGTGTATTAAGAAAAAATTAAAACCAAAGATTAAGCCCCACCCATATCTGCCCTAGTCTAAATATGTAGTAATGAAGTTTTCATTCGTTGTCAGACCTAGGGGCGGAGCCTAATTCCAAAATCTGTATTTCCCTACAATTCCCTATCATTTTAAACGTGTTTTAAGTTTTTAAGAATAAAAAAACCATCACAATAGAGATGGGGTGGGTGGGCGGGGTTTATATTTTACTTTTTTTTCTTAATGTACATAGTATTCTTTGAACAAACGATACTCAAAAACATGTTTTTAATTTCTTGTAAAGAAATAAGGTATTTTGCAGTTAAACTCCGCCCCGCCCCCTTTATTCACGGCAAATAAAAAAAATCATCACAATTGAGATAGGGCGGGTGGGCGGGCTTACATTTTGCCTTTTTGTTTTAATATGTGTAGACATCTTTTCACAACACGGAACTTAAAACAGGCTTAAAATGTGAAATTTGTATTGGGAAATATAGATTTTGCAATTAGGCTAAGCCCCATAATTGCAAAATCCATATTTCCTCGCAAAAATATGCCATTTTAACTATGTTTTAAGTTTCTTGTTGTGAAAAGATGGTCATGTATATTAAGAAAAAAAAGACAAAATATAAGCCCCGCCCACCCGCCCTATCTCAATTCTGATGAAGTTTTTTTATTCATTGTGAGCCAAGAGGGTGAAGGTTAATTTCAAAATCCTTATTTCTATACGGGCAATTAAAAACATGTTTTTGAGTATTGGGTTGTTAAAAAAATGCAGCGTATATTAAGAAAAAAGGAAAATGTAATTCAATTCTGATGATTTTTTTAATCGTTGGGAACCAAAGGAGCGAAATTTATTCGCAAAATTCTTATTATTTCTCTACAAGAAATTATCATGTGAAACATGTTTTTAAGTATCGTTTTATTCAAAGAATACTACGTATATTTAAGCCCCACCCACACCTGCCCTAGTCTAAATATGTAGTAATGAAGTTTTCATTCGTTGCCAGACCTATGGGCGGAGCCTAATTGCAAAATCTATATTTTCCTCCAATTTCTTACCATTTTAAACGTGTTTTAAATTTTTAAGAATAAAAAAATCATCACAATGGAGATGGGGTGGGTGGGCGGGGTTTATATTTTGCCTTTTTTTCTTAATGCACATAGTATTCTTTGAACACACGATACTCAAAAACATGTTTTTAATTTCTTGTAAAGAAATAAGTATTTTGCAGTTAAGCTCCGCCACGTCCCCTTTATTCACGGCGAATAAAAAAAATCATCACAATTGAGATAGGGTGGGTGGGTGGGCTTACATTTTGCCTTTTTGTTTTATTATTTGTAGACTTCTTTTTACAACATGAGACTTAAAACATGCTTAAAATGGAAAATTTGTATAGGGAAATATCGATTTTGCAATAAGACTCCGCCCCATAATTGCAAAATTCATATTTCCTTGCAAAAATGTACTGTTTTAACTATGTTTTAAAATATAAGCCCCACCCACCCGCCCTATCTCAATTGTGATGATTTTTTTTATTCGCTGTGAACCAAGAGGGCGGAGCTTAATTGCAAAATACTTATTTCTCTACGAGAAATTAAAAACATGTTTTTGAGTATTGGGTCGATCAAAAAATACAACGTACGTTAAGAAATAAGGCAAAATATAAGCCCCGCCCACCCGCCCTATCTCAATTGTGATGATTTTTTTTAATCGTCGGGAGCCAAAGGAGCGGAATTTAATTGCAAAATCCGTATTATTTCTCTATAAGAAATTATCATGCAAGACATGTTTTTAAGTATCGGGTTATTCAAAGAATACTATGTATATTAAGAAAAAAATAAAAGCAAAAACTAAGCCCCACCCATATCTGTCCTGGTCTAAATATGTAGTAATGAAATTTTCATTCATGGCCAGATGTGGGGGCGGAGCCTACTTGCAACATCCATATTTCCCTACAAACATTTACCATTTTAAACGTGTTTTAAGTTTTTAAGAATAAAAAATTATCACAATTGAGACGGGGTGGGTGGGCGGGGTTTATATTTTGTCTTTTTTTCTTAATGTGCACAGTATTCTTTGAACACGATACTCAAACACATGTTTTTAAATTCTTGTAAACAAATAAGTATTTTGCAGTTAAGCTCCGCCCTCTTGGTTCACGGCGAATAAAAAAATCATCACAATTGAGATAGGGTGGGTGGGCGGGCTTACATTTTGCCTTTTTGTTTTAATATTTGTAGACTTCTGTTTACAACATGAAACTTAAAACATGCTTAAAATGGAAAATTTGTATAGGGAAATATCGATTTTGCAACAAGACTCCGCCCCATAATTGCAAAATTCATATTTCCTTGCAAAAGTGTACTGTTTTAACTATGTTTCAAAATATAAGCCCCACCCACCCGCCCTATCTCAATTGTGATGATTTTTTTTATTCGTTGTGAGCCAAGGGGCCAGAACTCAACTGCAAAATCCTTATTTCTCTACGAGAAATTAAAAACATGTTTTTGAGTATCGGGTTGTTCAAAAAATACAACGGATATTAAGAAAAAAGGCAAAATGTAAGCCCCGCCCACCCGCCCTATCTCAATTCTGATGATTTTTTTTAATCGTTGGAAACCAAAGGAGCGAAATTTAATTGCAAAACTCTAATTTTTTTCTATACAAGAAATTATCATGTAAGACACGTTTTTAAGTATCGTGTTATTCTGTTATTCAAAGAATACTACATATGTTAAGAAAAAATTAAAAGTAAAGACTAAGCCCCACCCATATCTGTCCTGGTCTAAATATGTAGTAATGAAATTTTCATTCGTTGCCAGACCTAGGGGCGGAGCCTACTTGCAACATCCATATTTTCCTACAAACATTTACCATTTTAAAGTTTTTAAGTTTTTAAGAATAAAAAATCATCACAATTGAGATGGAGTGGGTGGGCGGGGTTTATATTTTGTCTTTTTTTTCTTAATGTGTACAGTATTCTTTGAACACGATACTCAAAAACATGTTTTTAATTTCTTGTAACGAAATAAATGTTTTGCAGTTAAGCTCAGCCCCCTTGGTTCACGGTGAATAAAAAAAATCATTATAATTGAGAAAGGGTGGGTAGGCGGGCTTACATTTTGCCTTTTTGTTTTAATATTTGTAGACTTCTTTTCACAACATGAAACTTAAAACATCTATCTTTTAAGCGTCTTGTTGTGAAAAGATGGCTATGTATATTAAGAAAAAAAGGTAAAATATAAGCCACGCCCACCCGCCCTATCGCAATTCTGATGATTTTTTTTATACGTCGTAAGCCGAGGGGCGAGGCTTAATTGTAAAATCTTTATTTTTCTACGAGAAATTACCTTGTGAAATATGTTCTTCTTCTTTTCGTATACAAATTTACCATTTTAAACATGTTTTACCTTTCTTATTGTGAATTATTTTTTCCCAAAAATCTGGACGTTTCGGATGAAAACTCAATGCGGGATCATAAACTACATGTGTAGGACTATGTTATTCCATACAATTTAAAACCCATTTAATATGTGCAATTTTGAAGTGACGTCATCACGTTATTGGTGGGGATGATTAGACAAATTTTGATTAGTGTGTTACCATCTACATGATATTCCTGATATAAATAGAAAATTTAACAACTATCGGCCCAGTACTTTCGGAGGCTGTATGTCTAATAAAAATCGGGACGGGAGACGGACAGACAGACAGACAGACAGACAGACGAACCGACAAACGGACACGGGAGACTTATTTCTTCGTACTCTGGGGATCATGAAAGTTCGACAAAACGTAAAAGCAGAGGGTCGGCCGACGGCCTCTATTTCAACCGTAACCGGTAATGGCTTGCACAATAGATACGAGGGGCACTCAAGAAGTCTGAACTTATAGCATTAATCCAAATTTTTCTAAGTACCTCTCTTACGATTCAATAAAAATTGAACAAACTATTCGCAACAGATATATAAAACAGGAAAATATTTTTTTTTAGTATAGTTGTTAAACTCAACCCACTTTTACTAGGAAATATATAACGAAGAATTTAAACAACTTACTAAGTGATAATGTAATAGTAAAAATATTATTTCATCAAGCTTTTGTTTTGATGGACAAGAACTGCGAAGAAATTTGAACCTTGTTATCTTTCAGTTTATGAAACACACTTTGTTCTTGTGAAAAAAAAAGGTGATAAAGATTTGTATTATTACTTCCAAGGTCGTTGGACTAACTGACTAAGAGTATTATCAGTGGTTATTTTCCTTTTGAATCATAATTTATTAATACGCAAATGAGTATATCGCACGTGCAGATTCCAAATTTGCGAAGCCAGAAATAACTATATGATAAAAAATTAAGAACGTTTAAGATTTTTAAAGTACTTGATAAACTTTTAATACATTTTTACACTATGTGGAAACAGCAAATTTATCTTTAAAACCCTCGAAAAGTCCCTGAATTTTGCCGTATATAAATAGAAAACTAAAGCAAAAACATGTATGATTATTTTAGAAAACATATCATTTTGAAGTGATTAGTGGTGGGAGTCAGCACATCACCATAAAAGACGTTATTGGCAAATTGTTGTTATAGTGATCGACAATGCTTCTAGCGGCCACTTTTTTCATCAGTGTTCTTCTAATTGGGGGATTTTATCTCCTCAAACGAATTAAAACCCTTGCCTACAACTATGTCTACATGTCAAAACTACCCGGTCCTCCTCCGGACGGAATCTTCATTGGAAACATGTCATACTTGCAGACCTCCCCAGGTAAAACAACCCCGAGTGTAATAAAACCCTCATTATGCTCCTTGTAGAAAACTTATTTGTCAGGCTGAGAGAAGCCATGAAAAATTTCTACCCGATTTACAAACTCTACGCTTGTCATAAAATTGGAGCGAATATTCTGAGCCCGGAAGACTGCGAGGTAAAAACTAAAACTCATAGGGGTTGAATTTTAAACAAAGGGTTGTAGTTGATCATGTCCAATCCGGCGCACAACACCAAGGCCCAACTTTACGATCTTTTACACAACTGGCTGAACGACGGACTTTTGACTTCCAACGGTCTTAAGTGGCAAACCAGGAGAAAAATTTTGACACCTGCTTTTCATTTTAACATTTTGCAGGACTTTGTGCAGATCTTCAACGAAGAATCTCAGGAACTGGTGAACATTTTTAAGAAAGAATGTAAGAAGTCATACGTGAACGTGACACCTCATGTCACACAGTTCACGCTGAAAACAATCGCTGGTAAGTAGAAATTACGACCCGATAAAGAAAAAATCTATGTAATAACTAATTTCAGAAACCGCCATGGGTAGCAAACTGAACTTCAAAACCCAGGAGGACAACGACTACAAGCAAGCCGTCTACGACGTCGGCAAAATCCTCCTCTACCGCCTCGTCCACCCTTGGTTCGTCCTAAAATTCTTCAACTTTTTCAGCCCTTGGTACCTCCAAGAACGCAAACTCACCAACATCTTGCACGACTTCACCAAACAAGTAATCAAGGAGCGAGAGGAAAACTTCGACCACGACGCGCTGCCGCAGGAACAGCATGATGTATACTTAGGGAAAAGGCGCATGGCGATGCTGGATTTGCTCCTGTCGGCTAAACACAAAGACGGAATCATCGACAACGAAGGAATACAGGAAGAAGTTGACACTTTTATGTTTGAAGGGCACGATACGACCGCTGCAGCCCTCAGTTTCGCCCTAATGCTGCTGGCTTGTCATAAAGAATCGCAGAATTTGATTCTCCAAGAAATGGCTGAGGTGTTGGGGGATTTGCACAAGAAACCGAGCCAGAACGATTTGCAGAGCATGAGATATCTGGAGCGGTGTTTGAAGGAGAGTTTGAGGTTGTATCCGAGTGTCTTCTTCATTGCGAGGGCTTTGGGAGAAGATATGAAGACGTTTAGTGGATATTTATTGCCGAAAGATACGATTGTTATTATGCACATTTACGACATCCATCATAATCCGGATATTTATCCTGACCCGGAGAAGTTTGATCCGGATAGATTCCTCCCCGAGAATAGTCAGAACAGACATCCTTATGCCTATTTGCCGTTTAGCGCCGGAGCTAGGAATTGCATAGGACAGAAGTTTGCTATATTGGAACTAAAAGCTGCCGTTTGTGCCATTTTGGCGAATTTCGTACTAGAACCAGTAGACACTCCGGAAACTATTACTTTGATTGCTGATATTATTCTCAGAACGAAAGAGCCTATCAAAATCAAGCTGATTCCTCGCAGTAATTAGTCAGACAATCATTTTTAGCAACAATGTTGATTAAACAAATTAATGGTAATGACAGTGTAATTTGCAAATGGTGATAATGTCGGTGTAGCTTTATAAAAAAACTGGACAAATATAAACATTTTGAAAGTGATAAATATTTAATTTCTAGCACCTATAGACGAATGCAGTAATTGTGTAATCGCAGGTTATCGTGTTTTTCAAATTCACAACTTACGGAAAAACACAAAATCTTATCTGATTGTTTATAATAGAATGAAAGATTTACTAGACCCTCGATCAATACAAGTGACGTACTTAATGATTATCATTTTTAGTATTTACGCTAACAAAGCACTTGAAAAATTGCAAGTACAAAAATGACGTTATAAATAGGACACCCCCACTTTTTTAGTACTTGACCTCCAACTGAAAATTTGGACGATTTTTGAAATAATAAAAATAAGATCAAACCAGGTTTTTAAGATTTCTAAAATTTTGACGACTTTTTGGAAAATTAAATTAGAAATTAGTCGCAAATGTGGCACCTCTTTCCACACTGACGTTGTTTAGAAACTTCAGAAGCGATATTTTTTTATTTTCGACAAAATCAAGATGCCATTTTTTTTAATAAGACTAGTTTTTATATTTGTCAAAAAAATATTTAAATATCTAACGAACTCAAAAATTCGAATATACAAGAAATCAATGATGGCATTACTATTTTTTTTTAAATAAGGGACTTTTGTTTAGGAAAATTTAATGAAAAGGGATTTTTTATCACTATACTTAGACAACACATTAAAAAATGGGTGGGTGGGTGGGGAACTTCTATTTTTATTACAATGAAATATTTTTGTGGAAGTTGATTTTTACAGATGTGTTTGATCTGGAAATGACTTGATCTTGAATTTTGACGATTTTTATATAACGAGTATGAAATTTCAAACCATTTTTTAGAACCAACAATGTTTAACATAGAATTTGCGATCGGTAACAACACACAATTGTCAAGATTTCTAAAATGTTGACGAATTTTTGAAAAATTAAATTAAAAATTAGAGGTATCTGTGGACATTTTTTTACGCTGATGTTGTTTACAAACTTCAGAAGTGTTATTTTTTATTTTTGACAAACTCAGGACCGTAACATTCAAAAAAATTTTTAATGCCATTTTTTTAATGAGAAGACTAGTTTTTCTTATCAAAAAAATATTTAAATGTCTAACGAACTCAAAAATTCGAATATTCAAGAAACCAATGATTGTATTACTATTTTTTTTTTAAATAAAGGAAAATTTAATGGAACGAAGGTTTTTATTACCACAGACAACTCACTAAAAAATGGGTGGGTGGGTGGTTGGGGAACTTCTATTTTTATTACGATGAAATATCTTTGTGGAAATTGATTTTTATAGATGCGTCTGATCTGGAAATAACTTTCTTGAGCTCCAATTGGAAATTTTGACGATTTTTGATATGACGAATATGAAATTTCAAACCAGCTCTTTCATATTTTAGTGTCAGCAATATTTACCTAAATATGTCATGACATTTGCGGTCCGTAACAACAAATACTTTTCAAGATTTCTAAAATTTTGACGAATCTTTGGAAAATTAAATTAAAAATTAGTCGTATTTGTGGCACATATTTTCACATGATGTTGCTGAAAAACTTCAGAAGTGTTATTTTTATTTTCGACAACCTCAAGATCTCAGCATTCAAGGAAATATGTAATTGTCATGAAATTTCAAATCTGGTCCTCCATTTTTTAAAATCAACAGTGTTTAACATAGAATTTGCGGTCGGTAATAACACTAACAACACACAATTGTCAAGATTTCTAAAATTTTTACGAATTTTTGAAAAATTAATTTAAAAAATAGTCGTCACTTCTTTTCACACTGATGTTACTTGGAAATTTCAGAAGTGTTATTTTTTATTTTCGAGAATCTCAGGATCCCAATATTCAAAAAAATATGTAAGTAATGCCGTTTTTTTATGAGAAGACTAGTTTTTCTATAAACAAAAATATATTTAAATGTCTAACCAACTCAAAAATTGGAATATGCAAGAAATCAGTTGTTATTGTATTACTATTTTTTTTTTTAATAAAGGCTTTTTGTCTAGGAAAATTTAATGAAAAGGAGTTTTTTTATTACTATAGACAACTCATTAAAAATAGGTGGGTGGGTGGGGAACTTCTATTTTTATTACATTGAAATATCTTTGTGAAAGTTGATTTTTATAGAAGTATCTGATCTGGAAGCAAGTTTCTTGATCTCCAATTGCAAATTTTGACGATAGCCTATTCTCTGTCTGGCAGAGATTGTGAGAATGGCAATACTCAATTTTTGCCGCCAAAAAACCTTCTTTTTCGAAAACTGAATTTTTTTTGGCCAGCCATGTTCACGGTTCTCTAGACATAAACTATTCATTAACACCCTGTACATGGATATGTTAGCTAACAAAAAACAGTTCGTTTAATTGTTTAAAACAATTTTTTTTGTTTTAAAACATGGGACGTGTTTTTCTGGTTTAACATCTTTTTTAATTACCTTTTTCAGATGTTTCATCTGACTGATGTTAATTTTTGTTAGATTATTTTTTTATAAATTTCTTTACTGAATTCCATGCTGGCAACTGTAGCATAAAATATAAACTAAAACCGTACAAACAAAATTAATTTTTCTAATCTGTATTCAAAATTTTCACGTTATGATAGCATGTTGACTGTGTTAAACAAAAATAAGTAAGGGCTAATTTACGTAAAAAAGTATATTTTATGTACTTATTTAATTACAAATTTAAAAAAAATAAAATGTTTATAACCAAAAAAAAACACAAAAAAAAACGTTTTAAAATAATGCTAGTTCTTTTTTCTTGTCTGAAATCGTAACTTACTCTCTTTTCTTAGAGGATATCTCATTTGCCAAAATCACTCTAATCTTAGCAGGTACTAGCCCCGCCCACCCACCCTCTCTCCTCTTACACGGTATATCATCTGCCAAAATCACTCTTATCTTAGCAGGTACTAGCCCCGCCCACCCACCCTCTCTCCTCTTACAAGGTATGTCATCTGCACCCTCTCTATTCTACATTCTAAGATAAGAGTGATTTTGGCAAATGACATACCCTCTAAGAAAAGAGAGGGTGGGTGGGCGGGGCTAGAACTTGCTACGATAAGAGTGATTTTGGCCAATGCGGTGTCCTCCAAGGAAAGAAACGGCAAGTACTAGCCCCACCCACCCACCCTCTCTCCTCTTACAGGGTCTGGCATTTGCCATAGTCACCCTTATCTTAGCAAATACTAGCCCCGCCCACCCGCCCTCTCTTCTCTTACAGGGTATGTCATTTGTCAAAATCACTCTAATCTTAGCAGGTACTAGCCCCGCCCACCCACCCTCTCTCCTCTTACACGGTATGTCATCTGCCAAAATCACTTTTATCTTAGCAGGTACTAGCTCCGCCCACCCACCCTCTCTCCTCTTACAGGGTATGTCATCTGCACCCTCTCTATTCTACTTCTTCTACTAAGAGAAGAGAGGGCGGGTGGGCGGGGCTAGTACATTTTAAGATAAGAGTGGTTTTGGCAAATGACATACCCTCTAAGAAAAGAGAGGGTGGGTGGGTGGGGCTAAAACCTGCTACGATAAGAGTGATTTTGGCCAATGAGTTGTCCTCCAAGAAAAGAGACAGAAAGTACTAGCCCCACCCACCCATCCTCTCTTCTTTTACAGGGCATGTCATTTACCAAAATCAGTTTTATCTTCTACTAAGAGAAGAGAAGGCGGGTGGGCGGGGCTAGTACATTCTAAGATAAGAGTGATATTTTGGCAAATGACATACCCTGTAAGAGAAGAGAGGGTGGGTGGGCGGGGCTAGTAGCTGCTATGATAAGAGTGATTTTGGCCAATGAGTGTCCTCCAAGGAAAGAGACGGCGAGTACTAGCCTCGTCCACCCAGCCTCAGTATCTCAGCATTCAAGAAAATATGTGATGCCATTTTTTTTTAATGAGAGACTAGTTTTTCTTATTATCAAAAAAAAAAAACAATGTCCAACGAGCTCAAAACACAAGTATTCAGGAAATCAGGCGCGGATCCAGGGGGGGGGGGCAATGGGTGCAATTGCCCCCCCCTGACACACGACCGACGTCCTTTATTTTGACCAGTTTCAAAATTTTGAAATCAAATTTCATTTTGTACATACAGTACAACCTCTATAATCCGAACTTACGATTGTCTTAACATCCAGTAATCCGAACAGAGGCTATTTGAAGTGGATGCCTCTTTAATCCAAACAAAAACTCTGCAATCCGATCTGAACTTGAAAACATGCATCTACTTTCAAAAATGACGCAAGATCTTTCTGCATATGTTGTATGGAATATTTTGAAATTTTTAAAAATTGCGATATTTTAAAGCACTGAATTAATTAACTAATTCTGGAAAAACGGATAAAGTTATCGGAGACCTGAAATCTACAAGAGAAAGTATTTGGTTAAATGTCGAAAATCGTCGAAAATGGGTCGAAATTTACATGAGAAAAATTTCATTTTCGAAAAAATTTCCTAAAAATTCTGAAAAAATTCAGAGATATATATTCCGACGTGCTGATTCCAAAAATATACCATGTTTATGGTAACGGAGCAATATTTTCGGAAAATTCGCTGTGAAATTCGAATTTTTCGAAATTTTTAAAAATCGCGATATTTCAACGATTCTGGAAAAATGGTTTAAGTTATCGAAGAAATGAAGCCAGAAGTGACTTCTGAGGTCCAAAATCTACTAGAAAATATATTTAGTTAAATTTCGAAAATCGTCGAGAATGTGTCGAAATTTGCATAATGGAGGTAATACGAATACATTATGGAAAATTTCATTTTTGAAAAATGCATCTAAAAATTCTGAAAAATTTCAGGGTATAGATCCCGGGGTGTTTATTCCAAAAGACAGCGTGTTTATGGTCACGGAGTAATATTTTTTTAGAATGTATCTATTATCCATTGTTGCTTAAGAATTCTTTAATTTTTGTTTAAAAAAATGTTATGTGAAAAAGAGTATACTATCCAAAATTTTATAAATTTTGGTTAGAACGAATTTCTGGTAGATAGGTAAAATTGCACAAAAATTGCCCCCCCCCCCTCCCCCCGAACGAAATCCTGTATCCGCCCCTGCAGGAAATCAATGATTATATTACTATATTTCCTTTTTTAATAAAAGGCTTTTACTTAGGAAAATTTAACGAAAAGGAGTTTTTTATTACCATAGACAACCCATTAAAAATGGGTGGGTGGGTGGGGAAGTTGTATTTTTATTGCAATGAAATATCTTGTGGCAGTTGATTTTTATAGATGTGTCTGATCTGGAAATGACTTGCTTGATCTACTGAAAGTTTTGAAGATTTTTCATACAACGAGTGTTAAATTTCAAACCAGGTTCTTCATTTTTAGAATCAACAGTGTTTAACATGGAATTTGCGATCGGTAACAACACGCAGTTGTCAAGATTTCTAAACTTTTGATGAATTTTTGAAAAATTAAATTAAAAATTAAACGTATCTGTGGCAGTTCTTTTCACACTGATGTTTCTAAGAAGCTTCAGAAGTATTATTTTTTATTTTCGACAACTTCAGGATTTAAGATTTCAGGAAAAAATATTGTTTTAATGAGAACTCTAGTTTTTCTTTTTACCAAAAAAAAATTGTAATGTCCAACGAGTTCAAAAAACAAATATGCAAGAAATCATTGATTATATTACGATATTTTGTTTCTTAATAAAAAGCTTTTATTTGGGAAAATTTAACGAAAAGGAGTTTTTTATTACTACAGACAACGCATTAAAAATGGGTGGGCGGGTGGGGAAACTCTATTCTTATCACAATAAAATATCTTTGTTGAAGTTGATTTTCATAGATGTGGTTAATCTGTAAATGACTTGCTTGATTTCCAAGTGTTATGTTTTATTTTCGACAACCTCAGCATCTCAACATTCAAGAAAATACGTAATGCCATTTTTTTTAATGACTAGACTAGTTTTGCTTTATTACCCCAATCTTATTACAAAAAATCAGCCATAATCCAAACTTCTCTCTCCTCTCTATAACTTATCTGACATATCTGCGATAAAAATCTGCTAATGAATATATTAATTACAAACTTGGATCCCACTGCAAACAAGTTCCGCTTTCATTTAACGCGATATTACCTAACCCATCTCCCCCAAACAAAGAACAAGATAAGCCCATAATCACCTAATTTCCAATATAAAAATGGTTTCTGTAGAAACCCGGATTCAAATAGTGAAAGAAATCCAAGCTTCTATCCCCAATTAAAAAAATGTTTTTTGCCACAATTCTACCGTGTTTTATTGCTTTCGCAGCCGTTTTCTATGCCCTAAAATGGCTAAAAGTAGCCGCTTTCAACTACTACATATTAAAAAAACTTCCAGGTCCCCCTTCAGCGAATTTCATAATCGGAAACATGAACTACCTTCAAGCTACTCCAGGTAATCTAAACCACTATTTTAGCTTTTAGTTAGTTTAATACGCTTTCAGAAATCATGTTCCACCGACTTAGAGAAGCCTTCAGACATTTCTACCCAATTTACAAACTGTACGCTTTCCATAAAATCTCAGCTAACATTCTCAGTCCGGAAGACTGCGAACTAATCATGTGCAACCCAATCCACAACCGAAAGGGACAAGTTTACGACTTGATCCGATGGTGGTTGAAAGACGGTCTTCTCACCAGCGAAGGCCCCAAGTGGCAAGCCCGCCGCAAAATCCTCACCCCGGCTTTCCATTTCAGTATCTTACAACAATTCGTCCAAATTTTCAACGAAGAAGGCGAAAAGTTAGTCGAGGTGTTAAAACACGAGTGTGCCAAGTCGTACGTTAACGTGACCCCGCACATCACGCAGTTCACCCTAAAAACGATCGTTGGTACGTTTCAAGTAGTACCGATTTTGTTATTTTTGCACGTCTTCCAGAAACCGCAATGGGTACTAAATTGCAATTTCAAACCCAAGAAGAGAAAAATTACAAGCAAGCCGTGTACGACATCGGGCAAATTCTTATCTACAGAATCAAGCACCCGTGGTTCATTTACCCAATTTTAAACTACTTCAGCCCGTGGTACTTCCAAGAACGCAAAGTCACCAACACGTTGCACAAATTTTCGCGAGATGTGATACGCGATCGGGAAAAGAGTTTCAGCGATATTGAGGTACCGAAAGACGATGTGTACAAAGGTAAGAAGCGTCTAGCGATGTTGGATTTGTTGCTTTCGGCCAAAATGGAAAGGTTGATCGATGATGAAGGAGTCCAGGAGGAAGTGGACACTTTTATGTTTGAGGGTCACGACACTACTGCTGTCGCTCTAGGTTTCCTTTTGATGCTGATAGCGTGCCATCAAGACATCCAGGTACCATTGTTTATATCTTTGGAAGACAAGTGTCCAAGTGGTACTTTTTAGGAGCAAATCGTCCAAGAAATGTGTGACGTTTTTGGTGATTTGAAAACAAGACCGACGTATTCCGATTTACAAAGTTTGAAGTATATGGAACGGTGTATTAAAGAAAGTCTCAGGTTGTACCCTAGTGTCCATTTTATCACTAGGACTTTAGGACAGGATGTGAGGACGCGTAGTGGATATTTGCTACCTAAAGACACTATTGCTGTTATACATATCTACGATGTTCATCATAACCCGGATATTTATCCTGATCCTGAGAAATTCGATCCTGATCGTTTCCTTCCAGATAATAGTCAAAACAGACATCCTTTTGCGTTTCTGCCTTTTAGTGCAGGCCCTAGGAACTGTATTGGCCAAAGGTTCGCCATGTTGGAACTAAAGTCTGCATTGTGCGCCATTTTGGGGAACTTTGTTCTAGAGGCTGTGGACACTCCAGAAACTATAGTAGTGGTGGTTGATATAGTCCTTAGGACGAAAGAAGGAATCAAGATTAGGCTTGTTCCTAGGACCTAATCAACAAATCAATCACTGGTGTTATCAGGGTGATTGTTGTCACCTCTGATTAATAAACGAATGTCATGTAGTGTTTACACTCTCCATAATAAACAAATATAAAAGGATAAAAATATCTTATCTAGTTCTGATTGCGTGCAAATGTATTTTTCACGTTTATGTCAATTCCATGTGTCGTGAGTCTGAAAGGTCGTGAACTTTTTTTAATTGTAATAATTTTCAGAGTTATCTTATCTGTTCCTGTCGGCATGACTCAACCAACAAACGCTTCTTTTTTATACATAGATTTTCGCTGGCGGCTGTCACTATAATCGCTTTGACCGTATTTCTCAGTAATTTAAAATAAATTTGACTCATTAGTATTTAAAATGAACATCTTAACTTTGAAAAGTTGTGAGCTTTTACTTCCGCTTGTTGTTTTTTATTTAATTTTTCCTCAGCTTTGAAAATTTTGACAATGACTGAATTTAAAAACGCAAACATGGCGGTTTTAACGTGGTCTGCATGTTAAAACCAAAATTAACAACGATGTTTTACTCCTAAAGGAAACATTACAACAAGAACATTTGAATAATCTTTGGTGTCACTTCAAAAGAAAAACAATTTTCAAAAACTCAAGTGATTTATCAGATATTTTAGAAACGACTTGTCTAGGTTTATAGAAATTTTAGAAAAACGCAATTTTATCACTAGCTGTACGCATTAAAAGACGATAAATAGAAAAAAATTATAATAAATTGGAAATTGCTCAATAAAGCGTTACTCAAATATTTTTAAATTATGTAATCATAAAACAATAAACTACGCACTACGCATGCTGCTACGTGAACTCCCAAATATAACAAAAATAAAAATAAACAACCGACCGCAAGATAATAAATTGGATCTCACAAGAAGTCTTTGTTCAGTTCGTCAACCATGCTCGTCTCAACAGCAATTCTCATAGCCTTTGTCATTTTCTTGGTGGCTTTGAGCTTCAAAAACATACGGGAGCACTTTTACAGCCTCCTGTACATACACAACCTCCCAGGACCTCCCGCTAATGACATCCTCACAGGAAACTTGCTTTATTTGTACACAACCCCAGGTAAAAGTACTTTTTCGCCACCAAAAAATTAAACTTGATTTGTAGACAATGTGTTCAAAACACTACGCGAATGGAGCAAACTCTACTATCCCGTTTATAAAACAACATGTGCCCATTTGGGTGCCGCTAATATCGTGAGTCCAGACGACTTCGAGGTAAGACTTCCCGTTAATAAGGTAGATTTTTTTAATTTAGTTTTAGACGGTTTTATCCACTCCAATCCACATGGAAAAGAGTTTTATCTATAACATGCTCCACGACTGGCTAGGAACGGGGTTATTAACTAGCACTGGTAATCAATTTTCCGTGAATCATACACAACAAACTAACGATAACCTTAAATCTAGGTTTAAAGTGGCAGATCCGACGGAAAATTTTAACCCCGGCTTTCCACTTCAGCATCCTGCAGCAGTTCACGGCCATTTTCAACGAAGAAACGGAAAAACTGGTCAAAGTTTTCCGACAAGAGTGTGACAAGCCGTACATAAACGTAACCCCTCATGTCACTCAGTTCACTCTAAAAACAATAGCAGGTACTATTATTTCACGGGCTTACCCCAACTGAAATTACGTTTTAGAGACCGCGATGGGTACTAAACTACAATTTACTAGCCACAAAGAAATCAGTTACAAAAAATCGATTTTCGAAATGGGTGAACTTTTGCTCTACCGTTTACTACGAACATGGTTAATATACAAATTTTTGTATTTATTCACCTCCCGGTACTACATCGAGAGAAAAGTCATAAAGCATCTGCACAGTTTCACCGATAGCGTGATAGCCGAACGTGAAAAAAATTTCAAAGAGGTGGTACCACCAACCGAAAATGACGACGTATACACCGGGAAAAAGCGTCTAGCGATGTTAGACTTGCTTCTAACCGCTAAACACAAAGAAGGAACTATTGACGACGTAGGAATTCGTGAAGAAGTCGATACTTTCATGTTCGAAGGGCACGACACCACTTCGGTAGCTCTGAGCTTCGCTCTAATGCAAATCGCGTGTCACAAGGACGTTCAAGTAAGTACCCTAATACTTAGTACTACAATTCTACGTAAATCTGTTAGGACCGCATTGTCGAAGAAATGGGTGAAGTGCTAGGCGACTTGAAGAAAAAACCAACCTGCAACGATTTACAAGAAATGAGGTACTTAGAACGTGCTATAAAGGAAGTACTGAGGATGTACCCCAGCGTGCACTTCATCTCGCGAAAGTTGGGAGAGGACATGGTAACGCGGTGTGGACACACTATATCTAAAGGCTCAATGGTTAATTTGCACATCTATGATTTACACCACAACCCTGAAATTTATCCCGATCCAGAAAAATTTGATCCCGATCGGTTCCTTCCTGAAAACTCCCAAACAAGACACCCTTTTGCGTATTTGCCTTTTAGTGCCGGAGCTAGGAATTGTATCGGGAAAAAATTCGCCATGTTGGAACTGAAAACTGCCATTTGTGGAATTTTGGCCAATTTTGTGTTAGAACCGATCGACTCTGCCTCTACTATTGTTCTGGTTGCGGATATCGTTCTTAGAACGAAAGAGGGTATTAAAGTACGATTCGTACCAAGAGCCTAAGTGACTTTGCTACATTTTTCACTCTTCATCCTGTAATTTAACAAGACTGGAAATTGTACAATAATTGTTATTACTGACACAATTTGTTATCAGTATCTGTTCTAATACTTACGCAATTTACTTTAGATATTTTTATACGAAACTAATACATAATAATTTAAAGCCAGAAAATATGACTTTCGTTTTTCCCCTCAGGTGCCTTTTTTCCCCTCAGGTGACTATTCCAAAGTCCGTCACTTTTTCTCCCAAAAGTAATTGGAAATACACCCAGTCACGCTTATTTGTATTATAGTACGATTACATTATCAATATAGATAAAACAACTGCACAATATAACAGGAGATCGTGCACATCCACCTCCATAACCTAACTGCAATCAAGCAAAACATGGTTCTAACGCCGGTTTTAATCTTCGTGGTTTTCCTAATCATCTACGCCACTTTCTTCCGAAAAAGGGGAAGATTCTGGGAATGTTTGAGTCAGCTGCCGAAACCTCCAGCGTACCCTATTATTGGGAACCTTTTCGAGGTTATGAGGACACCAGGTACGTCGCTTATTTTTTTTAACACAAATTTGAGTGTTTTCTGATTTAGAGCAAATGTTCGTACACGACCGTAAACGCGGCCTCCAGTACTACCCTTTGTATCATCTAGATGTGCTTGGTGTGGGTTCTGCAAATATTCTCAATCCGGAAGACATGGAAGTCGTACTTACAGACATGAAGCAAAACACTAAGAGTATTATATACGAATTCCTGCACTCTTGGTTGGGTACTGGTTTGTTGACAAGCGCTGGTTCCAAGTGGCAAAGTCGCCGAAAAATCCTCACCCCAGCGTTCCATTTTAACATCCTCCAAGAATTCGTGACGATCTTCACCGAAGAAACGAAAAGACTGGTCGATGAGTTGGAGAAGGATAGTGACAAACCTTACATTGACGTGGTGGTACCGATTACCCAGTTCACTCTGATGTCAATCGGGGGTAAGAACCGTCACACTATCGTTTCGTTTTAACCATAATAAACTCTAGAAACCGCAATGGGTATCAACTTCAACAGCTACATGAACGATAAAGACGGTTACAAGAAATCCATCTATGACATCGGACGACTACTCACCTACAGAGCTCCTAGACCTTGGATTTACAGCGACGCCGTCTACTCCTTAACATCCAACTCCCGTGAAGAGAAAAAAGTCGTCAAGACTCTCCACCAATTCACCAACGACGTTATCGCCAAGAGAAAAAGCAACTTCTCGTCGGCGTCCTACTCTGAAAGGAAACGTCTCGCTATGCTCGATCTTCTCCTAAAGTACCGAGCGGAAGGTGCCAACATCGACGACGAGGGAATCCGCGAAGAAGTGGATACTTTCATGTTCGAAGGCCACGACACGACTTCCATGGCGATTTGCTTTGCTTTAATGCTTCTGGCGAACCACAGGGACGTTCAAAACGAGATTTACAACGAAATTGAAGAAGTACTCGGTGAAGACGCCCCCTCGTATAGCAACCTTCATGAGCTAAAGTACTTGGAAAGGTGCCTTAAGGAGAGTCTGCGGTTGTACCCTAGCGTTCCTTTCATTTCGAGAGTGTCAGGCAGCGAGGTTAAAACCAAAACGGGCTACACCATTCCGAACGATTGTATGATCAATCTACAAATTTATGACATGCATCATAATCCAAACGTTTTTCCTGATCCGGAGAAGTTTGATCCGGATCGGTTCCTACCGGAGAATATCCAGAAGAGACATCCCTTCGCCTATATACCGTTTAGTGCTGGATCGAGGAATTGCATAGGTAGGTACTAACAAATGAACCACAAGTGCTAAAGTACGATTTTTGATAGGTCAAAAGTTTGCCATGTTGGAAATGAAGACCGCGATATGCGGGATTTTGAAGAAGTTCATCCTGGAACCTGTAGACACCCCCAAAGACATGGTTTTCATCACGGATTTGGTGTTGCGACCTAAAGGAAGCATCAAAGTTAAATTTGTACCCAGACGTTAAAAATTAACAATCATTGTTATATTTGTTATGTAAACAAGTTATCGCAATATAGTGAGTTAGTTAACCTTGAATTTTAATCAGTGTCCATTTTCCATTCAATCATGATCGCCCTCTCAGTGTTGGTCTTATTTACGGCTACCGTAATTGCTTGTGTCGTGTACATATGGTGGTACCAAAACTTTTCCCGTTTCTTCACTCTCTTGAAGAAAGTTCCTGGACCCTCCGGGTACCCGATTATAGGCAACCTGCTCCAGTTTTTCGGATCTCAAGAAGAAATCTTCAAAATCGACCGCAAATTTAACAAAGAGTACTACCCTATATATAGTGAATGGACTCTGACATATGGCGCTGTTAACTTAACCCACCCTGACGACATCGAGGTAATTACACATATTTATGAAATCAATCACATTGTTGTTTTCTAGTTAATTTTATCCAGTAATAAACATACCGATAAAAGCATAATTTATACCTATCTACACGCATGGCTGGGAACCGGTTTACTCACCAGTGGCGGCGCAAAATGGCAAACGCGCCGCCGAATTCTAACTCCGGCTTTCCACTTCAGTATCCTACAAGAGTTCGTCCCCATTTTTAACGAAGAAACAGTAAAACTTGTGCAAGAATTGAAAACCCGTAACGGGAGTCCTGTTGATATCCTATCACCAATAAGTCAATTCACGCTGTTATCAATAGCAGGTCATTTGAGGTCGCAATGTTAAAGAATCTGCTAAATTGTAATTCTAGATACTTCGATGGGAGTCAAACTTGACGCGTCCCCCAAAAGCTGCGACGACTACAAAAGCGCCATTCACACCTTCGGGCGTGCTTTAACCTACCGCATGTTGCGCCCGTGGCTTGTAAACGACACCGTTTTCTACAACTTTACCCGTTTTGGCCGCTTTACCCGAAAATCGATACAAGTACTGCACGATTTTTCCAGAAATGTTATTTCTGAGAGAAAACGGAACTCCAATTGCGGTCCCAAAACCAAAAGACTGGCGATGTTGGATCTTCTCTTGAGCGCGAAAAAACAAGGGGCGAATATCGATGACGAAGGGATAGCTGAAGAAGTTGACACTTTCATGTTCGAGGTACTACTTCTATAGATTGCGTATTTGAATACAAATACAAATTTAGGGTCACGACACTACGGCTATCGCCATCTGCTACACCCTTCTCCTTCTTGCCAACCACCCGTCAATCCAAGAAGAAGTGTTTCAAGAAATTAAGGACGTACTGGGGTACCCAGCGAAGTCTCCAACGTACAGCGACTTAAAAGAGCTGACTTTAATGGAGCGGTGTATCAAAGAGTCGTTGCGGTTGTTCCCCAGCGTTCCTTTCATTTCTAGAGTGGTCGCTGAAGATATTACAACCGTCTCGGGTTACGTGGTACCGAAAACCGCCGCTGCCAATATTCACATTTATGATTTACATCGAAACCCGGAGATTTATCCTGAACCGGAACGGTTTGACCCGGATCGATTTTTGCCCGAGAATACGAAAAATAGGCACCCTTTTGCCTATTTGCCTTTTAGTGCAGGTGCGAGGAATTGTATAGGGCAGAAGTACGCGATGTTGGAGCTGAAGGCGGTACTGTGCGGAATTGTGGGCACTTTTGTTCTCGAGGCAGTGGATAAGGTTGAAAATGTGACTATGGTTACAGATCTGGTACTTAGGTCCAAAGAGGGCATCAGGGTCAAGTTTATATCACGAAGTAATGTATAATAATAAATAACTGCAAATAAATCGAGAAATAATTGTTGTGACGCAAGATTTTATTAAACCGGTCATTTATATAACGCGACGGTCGTACTTGAATAAAAATAAAAAGCACCTCATTTGTTATATAATAATTAACTAAATATGTTAGTCGTGCTGGTACCAGTAGTTCCTTTTATTTTGATAATCGGGGTAATCTGGTGGTACCAAAACTTCTCTAGGGTGGGTAGACACATAAATAAGCTCGACGGGCCTGGGTATCCAATTGTGGGGGTATTTCTGGATTACCTTTTCGGAGATCTAGGTGAGTACCAACGTTGCTCTCTTTTAATTAAAACCATTTTCTTTTAGAAAAAGTCTTCCAAAATGATCGTGACAGGTGTGCCAAGTATTCACCAATTTTCAAACTTTGGATTTTCCATAAAGCGACTGTGATTTTGCAAAAACCGGATGATATTGAGGTCGGTACTACAATAGAATGTCATTCGCAAATACTTTCTTTAGATTATCCTCTCCAGCACCAAACACATCAAGAAAAGCCAAATTTACGACAACCTCCACATGTGGCTGGGAACTGGACTTCTAACCAGCGATGGTAAGTATTGTGGCGGCACAATAGCACGTTGATAGTCTAGTGGTCAGGACACCTGCCCGGCAAGCGGGTGACGTGTGGTTCGATGCCCACCGAGGCAGAAACATTTTTCTTCGCTTAACCAAAATTTTTCAGGCGATAAATGGAAAAGTCGTCGCAAAATTTTAACCCCGGCTTTCCACTTTGCCATTCTCAAGGGTTTTGTGGACGTTTTTAACGAAGCAACGGAGTCACTGGTTAAAGATTTAGCAACGCGTGCTCACGAAGACTACATCGATGTGGTACCACCCATCACACAGTTCACTGTGCAGTCGATGGCGGAAACTTCCATGGGAACATCCCTGGATTTAACCCAACAAATCAACCGAAATTACAAAAAGGCGATTCTAGATTTCACCAAAATCGCTTTATACAGATTAACTAAACCCTGGTTGTACGACGAGAACCTGTTTAAGTTGATTCCATCGGGTAAACAAGCGACCAAAATCGTGAACACGCTTCACGAATTCACCAGGAACATCATCCACGAAAGAAAAAAACTGTTCAAGAGTTCATACACAACGCAGAAGAGGTTAGCAATGTTGGATCTTCTTCTGAAAGCGCAGGAGACAGATGGCGCTATTGACGATGAGGGGATACGCGAAGAAGTGGACACTTTTATGTTTGAGGTAGTTGCAATATTGTCACTTCGTCTCTAATGGGGTGTTTTAGGGTCACGATACTACTGCAGTTGCTATTTGCCACATTCTGATGCTTTTAGCCAATCACAAAAACGTCCAAGATGAAGTTCGCCAAGAAATTATTGACGTAATTGGAGACAACTCACAACCACCAAGTTATAGCGACCTACAAGAACTTGCATACACAGAAAGATGTCTTAAAGAGTGTCTGCGGATTTATCCGAGCGTGGTTTTGATAGGTAGAGATATAAATGAGGATGTACAAACTTCTACAGGGTATACAATTCCGAAAGGGACCATGGCACACATTTTTATTTACGATTTACATCGAAACCCGGATTTGTACCCTGACCCTTTGAAGTTTGATCCGGATCGATTTTTGCCCGAAAATATCCAAAAAAGACACCCTTTTGCCTATATACCTTTCAGTGCAGGGTCTAGAAATTGTATAGGACAAAGGTTTGCAATGTTGGAACTGAAAGCACTTCTGTGTGGGATTTTAAGAAAGTTTAATTTGGAAGCTGTTGATAGGCCAGAGGATATTGTTTTTCAAGCAGATTTAGTACTCAGGAGCAAGAACCCTATTAGGGTGAAGTTCATCAAAAGGAATTAATACAAAAACTGTCTTAATTTGTAGTCTAACTAGATAATGGGGTTTAAGTATATCTAAATGTTTAAATATTTTTAATAAAACTTGTTTCACTACAACTCGTCGCCTGAGAACTTGTTTGATCTACAGACCAGACCGCGCTCAGGCCAATGTCGACTCTAAGCGTTCACAAGCGATTTGGTTCGTTTGGACTATAATTTCTGGGGGAAATAGTTGTTTGGTCGGTTTTTATAACGACTAAGTGAATATTTTTGGTACATATTTAGATGATTTTACATATTTTGTTTAACTAAGAATTCATTCTTTATTTGTGTTTTATACAAGCAAAAGGTCTTAAACTAAGAATATTGTTGAAATCGTATTAACCCAATGGATTTTTTTCGGGAAAATGTTTTGGAAACACTGTGTTCTATTTTGTATGAATTTTTAAATGTTTTTAGTGACAATTGTTGTGGTTGTTTTCGATACACTGTATAATGTTAACTGTGAGAAAAAAAAAATAAAAATTAAAATAATCGAAAATTCGAGAAATCTAATAATTAATCGAAAAATCTAAACCTTAAAAAATCGTAAAACTGAAACATTGAAAAATCGAAATATCGAAAAACTGAAAATCGAAAAAATGTAAAATTCAAAAATCTAAAATTTAAAAACCAAATAACGAAAAATCAAAAAAGTGAAGAGTCGAAAAATAGAAAAATCAAAAACCCGAAAACTCAAAAATTAAAGAATTGAACAACAGGAAAATCAAAACACTCGAAAGTCAAGAAATGGGAAAATCAAAACATCGATTAATTGAAAGATCGAAAAATTCAGAGTTTATGGAAGTCAAATTTGAAAAATTAAAAAATCGAAAATTTGACAAAATGACAATTGAAAAACAGGAAATCTAAAACCGGGAAGTCGAAAAATCAAAAGATTAAAAAATCGAAACATTTGAAAAATTCGAAAACTTGAAAAATTCAAATATCGAAGAACTGAACTCAAAAATCAAGAAATTGAAAAATCTAACATTTTAAAAATTAAAGCATCTAAAATTTAAAATCGAAAAATTGAAAAATGTAGAAAGTAAAATAATCGACACATCGAAAAATCCACGAATCAAAAAGCGAAAAGTCTAAGAATCGAAATATTGAAAAATCCCAAGCCTGAGATATCGAAAAACTGAAAAATGAAAGAAAAACTAAAAATGGGAAACTAAATCGGGAAACCAAAACATTGAAAAATCGAAAAATTTAAAGCGACAATTGAAAACAGAAAATCTAAAACCGGGAAGTCGAAAAATCGAAAGATTAAGCAATCGAAAAATTGAAAAAACCGAAAAAGTAAAAAAATTGACACATCGAAAACTCCAAAAGCCAAAAATCGAAAAGTCAAAGAGTCGAAATATTGAAAAATTCCAAAACTGAAAAATGAAAGATAAAATGGAAAACCTGAAAAATCCGAAAACTGAAATATCCAAAAACTGAGAACCTAAAAAGTCGAAAAATTCAGCAATCGAAAAATCCAAAAAGTGAAGTCGAAAAATCGAAAGACTAAGAAATTTTGAAAAATTAAAATATCAAAAGATTGAAAAATCTAAAATTAAAAAATCCAAAAATTGAAAAATCGAAAAAGTAACAAGGTAGACACAAATATTGAAAAGTCCTAAAACTGAAATATCTGAAAACTGAAAAATCGAAAAATCAAAAAGGTGAAGTCGAAAAATAGAAACCTTCAAAAATCGAAAAATTAAAGAATTGAACAACAGGAAAATCGAAGCACTCGAAGGTCAAGAAATGAGAAAATCAAAACATCGATTGATTGAAAAATCGAAAAATTGAGAGTTTATGAAAGTCAAATTTGAAAAATTAAAAAATCGAAAATTTGACAAAATGACAATTGAAAAACAGAAAATCTAAAACCGGGAAGTCGAAAAATCAAAAGATTAAAAAATCGAAACATTTGAAAAATTCAAAAACTTTAAAAATTGAAATATCGAAGAACTCAAATGAAAAATCGAGAAATCGAAAAATCTAAAATTTTAAAAATTAAAGAATCTAAAATTTAAAAATCGAAAAAGTAAAAAAATCGACACATCGAAACATCCAAGAGTCAAAAATCGAAAAGTCGAAGAAACGAAATATTGAAAAATCCCAAAACTGAAATATCGAAAAACTGAAAAATGAAAGAAAAACTTAAAATGGGAAACTAAATCGGGAAATCAAAACATTGAAAAACCGAAAAATTTAAAGCTGCAATTGAAAACAGAAAATCTAAAACCGGGAAGTCGAAAAATTGAAAGATTAAGCAATCGAAAAATTGAAAAATCCGAAAAAGTAAAAAAATTGACACATCGAAAACTCCAAAAGCCAAGAATCGAAAAGTGAAAGAGTCGAAATATTGAAAAATCGCAAAACTGAAAAATGAAAGATAAAGTGAAAAATGGAAAACCTGAAAAATCCGAAAACTGAAATATCCAAAAACAGAGAACCTAAAAAGTCGAAAAATTGAGCAATCGAAAAATCCAGAAAGTGAAGTCGAAAAATCAAAAAATTAAGAAATATCGAAAAATTAAAATATCAAAAGATTGAAAAATCTAAAATTTAAAAATCCAAAAATTGAAAAATCGAAAAAGTAAAAAGGTAGACATATCGAAAAATCCAGAAGTCAAAAATAAAAAGGTCGAAGAATTGAAATACTGAAAAATCGAAAAATCAAAAAAGTGAAGTCGAAAAATAGAAATCGAAATTGAAAAATCAACAAACCTGAAAAATCAAAAAATTAAAGAATTGAAAAACAGGAAAATCGAAACACTTGAAGGTCAAGAAATGGGAAAATCAAAACATCGATTGATTGAAAAATCGAAAAATTGAGAGTTTATGAAAGTCAAATTTGAAAAATTAAAAAATCGAAAATTTGACAAAATGACAATTGAAAAACAGAAAATCTAAAACCGGGAAGTCAAAAAATCAAAAGATTAAAAAATCGAAACATTTGAAAAATTCGAAAACTTGAAAAATTGAAATATCGAAGAACTGAAATGAAAAATCGAGAAATCGAAAAATCTAAAATTTTAAAAATTAAAGAATCTAAAATTTAAAAATCGAAAAATTGAAAAATCGAAAAACTAAAAAAATCGACACATCGAAACATTCAGGAGTCAAAAATCGAAAAGTCGAAGAATCGAAATATTGAAATATGGAAAAACTGAAAAATGAAAGAAAAACTAAAAATGGGAAACTAAATCGGGAAATCAAAACATTGAAAAATCGAAAAATCGAAAGATTAAGCAATCGAAAAATTGAAAAATCTAAAAACTAAAAAAATCGACACATCGAAAACTTCAGAAGCCAAAAATCGAAAAGTCGAAGAGTCGAAATATTGAAAAATCCCAAAACTGAAATATCGAAAAACTGAAAAATGAAAGATAAACTGAAAAATGGAAAACCTCAAAAATCCGAAAACTGAAATATCCAAAAACTGAGAACCTAAAAAGTCGAAAAATTGAGCAATCGAAAAATCCAAAAAGTGAAGTCGAAAAATAGAAACCTTCAAAAATCGAAAAATTAAAGAATTGAACAACAGGAAAATCGAAGCACTTGAAGCTAAAGAAATGGGAAAATCAAAACATCGATTAATTGAAAAATCGAAAAATTGAGAGTTTATGAAAGTCAAATTTGAAAAATTAAAAAATCGAAAATTTGACAAAATGACAATTGAAAAACAGAAAATCTAACACCGGGAAGTCGAAAAATCAAAGGATTAAAAAATCGAAACATTTGAAAAATTCAAAAACTTGAAAAATTGAAATATCGAAGAACTGAAATGAAAAATCGAGAAATCGAAAAATCTAAAATTTTAAAAATTAAATAATCTAAAATTTAAAAATCGAAAAATTGAAAAATCTAAAAAGTAAAAAAATCGACACATCGAAACATTCAGGAGTCGAAAATCTAAAAGTCGAAAAGTCGAAATATTGAAAAATCCCAAAACTGAAATTTCGAAAAACTGAAAAATGAAAGAAAAACTAAAAATGGGAAACTAAATCGAGAAATCGAAACATTGAAAATTCGAAAAATTTAAAGCGACAATTGAAAACAGAAAATCTAAAACGGGGAAGTCGAAAAATCGAAAAATTAAGCAATCGAAAAATTGAAAACACCGAAAAAGTAAAAAAATCGACACAACGAAAACTCCAGAAGCCAAAAATGGAAAAGTCGAAGAGTCGAAATATTGAAAAATCCCAAAACTGAAATATCGAAAAACTGAAAACTGAAAGATAAACTGAAAAATGGAAAACCTGAAAAATCCGAAATCTGAAATATCCAAAAACTGAGAACCTAAAAAGTCGAAAAATTGAGCATTCGAAAAATCCAAAAAGTGAAGTCGAAAAATCGAAGGATTAAGAAATATTGAAAAATTAAAATATCAAAAGATTGAAAAATCTAAAATTTAAAAATCCAAAAATTGAAAAATCCAGAAGTCAAAAATAAAAAAGCCGAAGAACTGAAATATTGAAAAGTCCTAAAACTGAAATATCTAAAAACTGAAAAATCGAAAAATCAAAAAAGTGAAGCCGAAAAATAGAAGCCTTAACAAATCGAAAAATTGAATAATCAAAAACCCGAAAAATCAAAAAATTAAAGAATTGAACAACAGGAAAATCGAAACACTCGAAGGTCAAGAAATGGGAAAATCAAAACATCGATTAATTGAAAAATCGAGTTTATGAAAGTCAAATTTGAAAATTTGACAAAATGACAACTGAAAAACAGAAAATCTAAAACCGGGAAGTCGAAAAATCAAAAGATTAAAAAATCGAAACATTTGAAAAATTCGAAAACTTGAAAAATTGAAATATCGATGAACTGAAATGAAAAATCGAGAAATCGAAATATCCAAAATTTTAAAAATTAAAGAATTTAAAATTTAAAAATCGAAAAATTGAAAAATCGAAAAAGTAAAAAAATCGACACATCGAAACATCCAGGAGTCAAAAATCGAAAAGTCGAAGAATCGAAATATTGAAAAATCCCAAAACTGAGATATCGAAAAACTGAAAAATGAAAGATAAACTGAGAATCTAATATCCGGAAAAATCCGAAAACTAAAATATCCAAAAACTGCGAACCTACAAAGTCGAAAAATCCAAAAAGTGAAGTCGAAAAATCGAAACCTTAAAAAAATTAAAAAATGAAAAATCGAAAAATTAAAGAATTAAAGAACAGGAAAATCGAAACCCTCGAAAGTCAAGAAATGGGAAAATTAAAACATCGATTAATTGTAAAATCGAAAAATTGACAGTTTATAAATGCCAAATTTGAAAAATTGAAAAATCGAAAATTTGAAAAAACGACAACTGAAAAACAGAAAATCTAAAACCGGGAAGTCGAAAAATCGAAACATTTGAAAAATTGAAATATGGAAGAGCTGAAATAAAAAATCGAGAAATCGAAAAATCTAAAATTATAAATATTGAAAAATTAAAATACCAAAAAATTGAGAAACCTAAAATTTAAAAATCGAAAAAAAGTTAACACATCGAAAAATCCAGAAGTCAAAAATGGAAACGTCGAAGAACAGAAATATTGAAAAATCCCAAAACCCAAAACTGAAATATCCAAAAACTGAGAACCTAAAGAATCGAAAAATTGAGAAATCGAAAAATCAAAAAAGTGAAGTCGAAATATCGAAACCTTAAAAAAATCGAAAAATTGAAAAATTAAAAACCTGCAAAATCGTAAGATCGAAAAATGCAAAAATAAGTAAACTGAAAAATCCCAAAACTGAAATGTCCAAAAACTGAGAAATAAAAAAATTGAAAAATTGGGAAATCGAAAAATAAAAAAAGTGAAGTTGAAAAATCGAACCCTGAAAAAATAGAAAAATTGAAAAACCAAAAAACCTGAAAAATCAATCGATTGAAAAATCGACAAATAGAGTTTATAAAAGTCAAAAATTGAAAAATCGAAATATTCAAATATTGTAATTAATTTTATTCCTAGTTAGAAACAAACACTGTTGCCAACATAAGTCGGAGTCCTCAACCGTCATTTAATTTAAACTATAACGCTTCTCTATGTTCTCTGGTCTTAAGTTAACCTCCCGCTCCTCCTACTTTTGTCCATCATCCAATAAAAAACGCCTACGACATACCTTGTCCCCACCCCACAAAACACCCAACTATGACCATCAGGCAAGGACAGTGGCAATATCTTAGTAACAAAACCCTAATTTCTTTATTTTATTAATAAATAATGGTTCACAATTCACTACCACAATACATCCTAGAGGCTCAGTTTAGTTACAAATAAACACCAAATTGTACCAAAGGCCGTAAAAAATCCAGATTTAGAGAGTTAGGCAAATAATAATGACCCTTAATTGCAAGACACTGATTAATTGACATGTTTAACACAAGTGAACACTGAGCCATGAACATTTTGATTGAAAACGAAATTGCACCTTGTGCATGCACTACATAACAAAAATCGAGCAGTTAGACCGCTCAACCAAGGAAATATTAGGACTCAACTCAATGTAGCACACACAACTACTTAAAGAATATAATTTAAATTAAATATAGTTCTGACACAAAATATAATTTCAATAGTAGAAGAAAAAACAAAAACAAGAATGGCAGTATAGATTTCATAAACGCTTTAAAGTTCGTTTCTTGTCTTTAAGTATCTTCTTTTTCTCTGCTGTGAGTTGTTTGTTTTTGTCGCTGGCGTGTTTCTTGGCAAGGGGCCCTTCACCGCTGCAACCCTTCGAGATTTTCTGCGGCTAAAAAAACGTGTAATTTTTATCATCTATGACACGACAAGACTCACTTGAGCGTGAATTTCCGTCATCATCTTAGCTCTTTGGGAGTAATCTTCGTATTGTTCTAAAAGTAGCTTTCCAGCTTCTTCATTGAGAGCTGACTCAGCGTTGGGCACTATTAGGAGGCATTTAATGGTCTAGAAAGTGAAAGTGGTGATTAAAGTCGCCGTTAATTACCCTACGCACCAATAATATATGTTTGATTCCGAGGTCTGACTTCCAATCCTTTTTTAACGTGTTGACGCAAATCTCCCCGTTAGCAGCCACATTTGGGTGGAAAATCTTGGTTAAAAAGAACGCTTTGGGTGGCTCTTGCGGAAATCCTTTCCCTAGAGTGAGTTTCACTTTAAAAACGCCTCCCATATAGGGCGTTCCTAAAACAAGTCATCAGTGTCGGTCAATCGAGGGGTCATCACCCACCTGCAGGTCCGTCAATGTAAGCTTGAATATCAGTCACATCCTCGTCGTTAATTTGAACTTTAATACCTTCAGGTGGGTTTGAGACTAGATCTTCCATTTCTTTGACAACACGCCTTATTATCTGAGGCGAAAGATTCTCGACATTGTTTGACATCTAAAAAAGGGAGAAATGCACGAAAATCACCATACAACCACACTTACCGTTCCAGCAGTTGCCATAAAGTAAAAATATCACAAAATTTGAACGAAATTGGCGATTTCTAGAAGCTAATCACTTTGACAAACGTGATAACAAACATCAGCTTAGCGTTCTAGAGCAAAACAGAGCGACAACGAAATTTGAATTTTGCCACCAATCACATGCTTGGAATTATGACAGTTTAATCTCGGACCCGGGGACCACGCGCCGACGAAAAATCATATTTCGGGCGAATTAAGCGGCAATTTTGACGCGAAAAGGCACCCCGGGGTTGGAGAAAAACACCCCGAAGATGACAAAAATGCGAAAGAAAATAAATCGTGGAAAAAAATAGACAGCGAAAATGGCGCCATCTGTCGACAGACGGTTGCGTATCATGGACAAAAAAAACGTCACAAAAACTCCAACCGTTAACAGCGTCAATAGATTATTCAAAAAAAAAACTGCTGATTATGACAATACACGAAATTCGACTTTAAAAATTAAGGTTAAGGTTTGCTGTAATAATACACACAATGCTTTAATAATAGGTTTAACCTTGAGCTTGCAAAAACTGATTCGTTTTTTTTATCATGGTCTGCGACGTCACGCACCAGATTGACCCCAGCGCCAATCGAAAGCGCTCTATTTTGGTTCAATTTCTGTGGTTAATTCAACGGTAAATCGCTGATCAAGTCATCTGTGAATCGTGCACAATAAACAAAAGAATTGTGAAATTGAAACGTCAGTCATTTTCCAATTTAAAAGTGAATGAACCGATAAAAGGAGGCAAAATGACCGATCAGGTAACAAATCGCTCCAAAAAACACGTCCTTTAACTGTCCCTTCCAGGCAGGCGACGTTTTCGTCAATCGCAAATACCCCCGTGATTTCAATAAACCATCCTGTCCAGACTCAAAACACTCAAAATTTTCCTATCCCTCCGTGATGGTATCACCCACATTGCACCTTTTTGACGTCAGGTTTTTACATAATGACTTTCAGGAGGCGCAAATCAGGAAGCTCAAACATGCGTTGGAGCACTGGAAGGAGATAGTCCTTCTCGGGAAGAAGGTTTTTATTTGGGACAAACAGTGGCACCCCACTGCGCTCGTCGGGGGTAACTGCGTCATACAAGTAGCGAAACGCAATGACCCGTTGTTTTAGGTAGCACGATACTGTTCACGTTTTTGTGGCTGCTGGACCCCAGTATTTTAACTGTAGTTTCAGTATTTGGTTTAGTTTTGACGGTTTGTGACTACATGATTCCCACAATTGCGAGCTCGTTTTTTAAACCCGAGAAATGGACAAGTCGGAAGGAGCAGGAGTTTGAGGAGTTGTGCACCAGCATTGTTTTATATAAGGCGAAGATAGAGTTGGCGTGGGGGCGCTACTATAGAATGAAGAACACCAATAGAAAAATGGTAATTGTTGTTTCACACAGATGGACAATTTCATGTTTTGGTTTCAGTATTTTGGTTTGACAATCGTGTTTTTGAGCTTGCTGGCGTATATTGGATGTTCTTTTAATAATCTGTTCATAGCGTATGTTTTGGTTACGCTGTTGATGCTGTTTCCGGGTATGGAGCACAAGGGCATGATACGGAGATGCAGTGAGCAAATACACAATTTCGTGACGGAGCTTTTGAGACAAGGCAAATCAAAATTGCCAGAGAAAAAAGATTAATTTGCTCAAACTATTAATATGAAGTTGTGTGATACTTTGGACTGATGTAATTTAACTGTAGTTTTATACAAATAAACATTTTTGTAATTAAAAAGCTACAAGCGTTAGTGAGGTATAGAAGTAGGGTTTCATTTTGACGCAAACATCTGTAGACTAGTTTCGATGTCCTTAGGTCTCATCAGTACAGCATATTTTAAAGGTTGTCTATTATTGGGAAGTTTTTATTTAACTTTCGCCGTTACATTGACGTTGGGTTTTCAACCAATCAAATTGCAGTTTGCGGTAGTGTGCAATGCTGCCAACTTGAAGGAAAATCCCCTGAAGTAGAGGGACATTTTTATGATTGACAGGAATTGGTATTCCACGAAAATCAAATTTCTCGATGTTTAAATCAACAAGATTTATTGCCATTATTCGTTTCAAAAACAAATTATAACTACAAGAGTTCATATTTTGCTCTTTTTTTTTTCTTAATATGTGTAGTCTTCTTTTCACAACAAGAAACATGTTTAAAATGGTAAATTTTTGCAGAAAAGTATCGATTTTGCAATTAGGCTCCACGCCTCGGTCAGACAACGAATGAAAAATTCATCAAGAGAGAAACTGAGAACTTATGAATTTTCAAGAAAAAAAAAAACTCAAATTTTGAAAATTTAAAAAAATCAGATTTTGTATTATTGTTCCTGATGGACGTTGTTGCTTCTTCGACAAATTGAAAAATAAAAATTCGATGAACTGAAAAATCGAAAAAAAAAATGTGAAACTGAAAAAACCAAAAAATCGAAAAGTGAAAAACTGTAAATTGAAAAATTGTAGAATGAAAATTTTTAGATTCAAAAAACGAAGAATAAAAAAATTAAAAAGTGAGAAAATGAAAAAATGGAAAAATTGTAAAGTCGAAAAACTGCAAATAGAAAAAATGTAAAATCAAAAATTTCTTGATCGAAAATTTGTACAAACGAAAAAGTGAAAAATTGAAAAAAGGAAAAAAAACATCTAATTGTAAAATAAAAAATTGCAAATTAAAGAAACAAAAATTTAAAACTTAAAAAGCGATAATTGAAAAAGAAAATTGTAAAATCGTAAAATTGCAGATCGAAAAATTCAGTAATTTAAAAATTAAAAGTTGAAAAATTGAAAACTTACAAATCGCGAAACTGAAAAGTGAAAATATTGAATTGAAAAATTTTAAAAACTAAAAATTCGAAAAGTCGAAAAATTGTAAAAAACTAGGAAAAATAAAAAATCGGGAAACTGAAAAATGGAAATACTGAAAAAACGAAAAATTGAAAAAACAAAAAATTGTAAAATTCAAATACTGAAAAACTGAAGCACGAAATATTGTTAAATCGAAATTTTGAAAATTCTAAAAAGTGAAAAATCGGCAGGTTGCAAAAACAAAAACTTAAAATAGCATCTATAAACTCGAAATTCGAAAAATTGACACATTGCAAATCGAAAAATTGAAATAACGCAATATTGCCAAGTGCAAAAATTTTAAAATCGGAAAATTAACAAATCGAAAAATTGTAAAATCAAAAATTTGCTCGTCGAGAAATTGAAAAGTGAAAATATTGAAAAAACCAAAAATTTTAAACAAAAAATTGCAAACTGAAAAATTGAAGAAACGAGAAATTGAAAACTCGAAAAATTAAAAAACGGCAAACTGAAAAATGGAAATATCCAAAAATAGAAAAACGAAAACCTGAAAAATCGGCACGTTGAAAAAACAAAAATTTATAATAGGACCTATAAATCAGAAATTCGAAAAATTGACAGATTGCAAATAGAAAAATTGAAAAGTCTAAAAACTTGAAAGAAATATTCTAGAGTCGAAAAATTGTAAAATTATAAAATCGGAAAATTAACAAGTAGAACAATTGCAAATTCAAGAATTTGAACGTCGAAGAATTGAAGAAAAGAAACATTGAAAAAACGAAAAATTAAAAATCAGGAAATTGAAAAATGGAAATACTGAAAAAACGAAAAATTGTAAAATTGTAAAATCGAAAAATTGCCAGTCGAAAAGGAATTGAAATAGAAAAACTAAAAACTCAGATATTGAAAAACCGAAAAAAGTAAAATCGGAAAATTTAAAAAAATTGTAAATCCGAAAAACTGCAAATCGAAAAACTGAAAAAATGGAAAATCGAAAAAAGGAAAAAAAATCAAACGTCTAAAAATTGACAAATTGTAAAATAATGAAAATCAAAAATTTGTTAATCGAAAAAGGAAAAATTGAAATGTCTAAAAATTTTAAAATTGTAAAATTAAAAAAAATTCAAATAGAAGAAACAAAAATTAAAAATCAAATAATTGAAAAATTCAAAAGTTGGGATGAATATGGGTGGAGCTTAATTTTTGACTTGTTTTTTCTTAATACACATAGTATTTGAACAACACGATACTCAGTAACATGTTTTCTATTTCTTGTTGAGAAATAAGGATTTTGCAATTAAGCTCCACTCCTCGGCTTACGACGAATAAAAAAAATCATCAGAATTGAGATAGGGTGGGTGGGCGGGGCTTATATTTCGCCTTTTTTCTTAAAAAATAAAATTAAAAAATCGAAAAACTGCAAACTTCAAAAATTCTCAAATCCAAAATTGAAGAAACGAAATGTGAAAATTGTAAAATCGAAAAATTGGCAGTCAAAAAAAAACGAAAAACTAAAAATGCAGAAACTGAAAAAATTGAAAAATCAAAAAATTAAAAAGCGAGAAAATGAAAAATCGAAAGTATAGAAAAAATAGAAAAATTGTAAATCCGAAAAACTGCAAATAGAAAAAATGTAAAATCAAAATTTCTTCATCGAAAATTTGAACAAACAAAAAACTGAAAAATTGAAAAATCGAAAAAAGGAAAAAAATCAAATGTCTAAAAATTGACAAATTGTAAAATAAAATATTGCAAATTGAAGGAACAAATATTAAAAATTAGACACATTAGAAAAATTGAAAACTTAAAAAGCGATAATTGAAAAAGAAAATTGTAAAATCGTAAAATTGTAGATCGAAAAATTTAATAATTTAAAAATTAAATAGTTGAAAAATCAATAATTTAATAATTTCAAATTGAAAGAGTGAAGAAACAAAAAAAATTAAAAATTGGAAACTTACAAATCGCGAAACTGAAAAATAAAAATATTGAATTGAAAAATTTTAAAAACTAAAAATTCGAAAAGTCGAATTGTAAAAAACTGAAAAATTGAAGGAACGAGAACTCGAAAAATCAAAAATTAAATCGGGAAACTGAAAAATGGAAATTCTGAAAATACGAAAAATTGAAAAAACAAAAAATTGTAAAATTGAAATACCGAAAAACTGAAGCGCGTAATATTGTTAAATCGAAATTTTGAAAATTCTAAAAAGCGAAAAATCGGCAGGTTGCAACAACAAAAACTTAAAATAGCATCTATAAACTCGAAATTCGAAAAATTGACACATTGCAAATCGAAAAATTGAAATAACGAAATATTTCAAAGTGGAAAAATTGTAAAATCGGAAAATTAATAAATCGAAAAATTATAAACTCAAAAATTTGCTCGTCGAGAAATTGAAAATTGAAAATATTGAAAAAACCAAACATTTTAAACAAAAAATTGTATAATCAAAAAATTGCAAACTGAAAAATTGAAGAAACGAGAAATTGAAAACTCGAAAAATCGGCAAACTGAAAAATGGAAATATTTAAAAATAGAAAAACGAAAAACTGAAAAATCGGCAGGTTGAAAAAAACAAAAATTTAAAACAGGATCTATAAATTCGAAATTCGAAAAATTGACAGATTGCAAATAGAAAAATTGAAAAGTCGAAAAACTTAAATAAGGAAATATTCTAGAGTCTAAAAATTGTAAAATTATAAAATCGGAAAATTAACAAATGGAAAAATTGCAAATTCAAAAATTTGAGCGTCGAAGAATTGAAGAAAAGAAACATTGAAAAATCGAAAAATTGTAAAAATGAGAAATTGAAAATTTGTTAAAATAAGAAATTGAAAAATTGTAAATTTGTAAAATGCAAAAATTGCCAGTCGAAAAGGAATTGAAATAGAAAAACTAAAAACTCAGATATTGAAAAACCGAAAAAAGTAAAATCGGAAAATTAAAAATGGAAAAAATGTAAAATCAAAAATTTCTTAATCGAAAATTTGAACAAACGAAAAACTGAAAAATAGAAAATAGGAAAAAAATCCCAATGTCTAAAAATTGAGAAATTATAAAATAATGAAAATCAAAAATTTGTTAATAAAAAAAATTGAAAAATCGAAGAAACAAAAATTAAAAATCAAATAATTGAAAAATTCAAAAGTTGGGATGAATATGGGTGGAGCTCAATTTTTGACTTGTTTTTTCTTAATACTAATACACATAGTATTTGAACAACACGAAACTCAAAAACATGTTTTTTATTTCTTGTTGAGACATAAGGATTTTGCAATTAAGCTCCACCCCTCGGCTTACGACGAATAAAAAAAAATCATCAGAATTGAGATAGGGCGGGTGGGCGGGGCTTGTATTTCGCCCTTTTTTTTCTTAATATACATAGCCATCTTTTCACAACAAGAAACTAAAAACATGGTTAAAATGATACATTTTTACAAGGAAATATGCAATTATGGAGCGGAGCCTAATTGCAAAATTGATATTTCCTTATACAAATTTTTCATTTTGAGTATCGTGTTGTTCAAAGAATATTATGTATATTAAGAAAAAAAGACAAAATATAAATATCGCCCACCCACCCTATCTCAATTGTGATTATTTTTTTTATTCCTAGAAACTTAAAACATGTTTAAAATGGTAATTTTTTGTAAGGAAATATGGATTTTGCAATTAGGCTCCGCCCCTAGGTCGGCCAACGAATAAAACCCTCATTACTATTTAGATCAGGGCAGGTATAGGTGGGGCTAAATCTTTGGCTTTAATTTTTTCTTAATACACATATAGTATTCTTTGAATAACACAATGTTCAAAAACATGCCTTACGTAGTCATTTCTTGTAGAGAAATAATAAGAATTTGGCAATTAAAATCGAGACAGGGTGGGTGGGCGGGGCTTATATTTTGTCTTTTTTCTTAATATACCTAGTTGTCTTTTCAGAACAAGAAACTTAAAAGACGTTTAAAATGGTAAATTCTTGTGGCCAAATACGGATCTTGTAATTAAGCTGCGCCCCTCGATCTGAAAACGAAAAAGATGTTTTTAAGCTTTCGTAGAGAAACAAGGATTTTGTAGTTAAGCTCCGCCTTCTTAGCTCGCGACGAATGAAAAAATAAATCATCACAACTGAGATAGGGCGGGTGGGCGGGGCTACATTTTGCATTTTTTTTTCTGAACATGTGTAGACTTACTTTGAAAATTAAAACATGTCTAAAATGGTAAATTTTAGTCGTAATCAACTTAAATCGTCCACTTTTCTTCTACCACCCCTTTAAATACGGCAATTTTCAGCTCTAAAAGCTGAAGAATATAATTTCTCTATTATTAACACACCTATTGTTATGAAATTTTAAACGTAATTTGTCCACAACTTTCACTACATAACTGCGGGAGCAGTTTTTTTTTCAACAATTTGTTGTCATTTTTTTTAAATTATTGAAATTTTTGCATCACGTATTTTAAAAAATCAATATTTCAGTTAGTTATGGAAATTTTGGAACGGGGTTGTCACCACTGTTTTCAGCTTGTAAAACTTTAGAAATCGTGCTAGGTCTACTTTTGACTTGTTGGGACTGAGATATAATAAAAATAAAAGTTAGCAATTTCTATAAGCTTTTTTCAACAAAAAAATCGACGATATATCTGGTGTGATTTCCGGAGTTTAGTAAGCTGAAAACCGTGTTCTGAAATTTCCTTTAATAATTGAGAAAAAGATGAAAAATTTTACGAAAATTAAAAGAAAATTTTTTTCTCAAACTGTGACAGGAAAAAATGAAATCATTATTGTTTGCTTGCCTTGAGCTTTAAATGGCAAATTTAAATAATTTTAATCATAAGTCAAAGTTAAATTTCAACTGTTTAAAAAACCATGGTGAAAAAGTTTTGGATTGCAGTGGGCAACACCTTGTGTAATCCTGTCTAGCCTTGCCAGCTTAAAAGACAATTCTAATGGAAAAGAACTGAATTGCTATATTAATTTTGTCTCTAAAAATAAAATGTTAAGTAGTTCTGCTACACAAAGTATGTTTTGGCTTTGCCGCCTTGTTGAAATAGATATTATAATCAGTGTCAACTTATGGGTCAATGATTTACAGATATCTTATGCTTAATTACATTTGTTGTTTGCACAGCACTGAAGTTATTTTTTCCACTTAGAATGGATCGGGATGGAGGATTCAAAAACAGCAGCCACTAAACAAAGTTTTTTATCCAAACTACATATTTTGCACTAGTGTATATCGTGATTAAGAACAGGTCGCGTCACACTTAAACGTCTTTATTCCTATCAATACAATTTACATTAACAAGAAAACAGCCTAGTACTAGGTTTAGTTGTGAAAAACGAACCGCATACGTAATACTCTAGTGATTTATAAAAAGTAAGGCTCATTACAATAAAATTACAAACTAAAACTGAAAAAAAACACATTTCACAAAGTGGACCGCGCACGTAGCGTCTCTGATAAGAGCACTTGTTTATTTCATTTCCTTGGTGTAGGCATCCAACTCCGCGTCGAGTTCTTCGGCAGTGGGTTGCTTCTTTTGATTCCTGAAACTCCTCCCCCCTCCTCGACCTGGCAAAGAAATTACGTTAGTCCTCGGCATCGCCGCCGCTCAAGAAAATCTACCTCTGTTCGGTCGTCCCTTGGGCGCCCCTCTCGGACTCCTGTTGTTAAACTTGCGCTCGCCGATGCCCCTCCTCACCGGCGAGGGTATCTCCGAGGTGATAATCTGAATATTCATCGCCCTGCCGTCCAGGGGCACTCCGTTGTACTGTTTCATGGCCTTAATGGCGTCACTGCGCCGCTCGAAAATCACGTCGGCCGTACCGAGCGACCGCCCCGACCGGTCGTAATGCACTGAGGCGCTTTTCAGCGGCCCGAACTCAGCGAAGAGTTCTTGGATGTCGGAGTCGGAGACTCCAAAGTCTAAATTCGCCACCATGAGCTTCGTGGGGCCCATGCTGGACTGCACCACGGCCCTGGCCGCGGCGACTTTGCGCGGGCCGTAGCCCTCGAACAGATCGTGCTTCCAAGCACTGTTCACATCTCCCTAAAGAAACAAGCGGATGGAGGTCAATCTGCCGTCTCGGCTGCGAGGTGGGATGCACTTGCTGAGCCAGCGCAGCTGCTTAAGTAAAACAATTTATAAACATTTACCCGGGTGTACTGGCGCGTTATTCCTCCGCGTCCTCGGCCCCTTTGGACGCCGCCTGCTCTTCGGAACGTGCCTCGTCTCGGCGGACCGCCCCCGCGGGGTCCGCCGCGTCCGCCCCGCCGACCACCTCGGCGGGGCTTGTTCGACTTTATTATCTCGTCTAGGCTCATCTCGATCGTGTCGACCATTCTTGATGTTTTTACGAAGACTTTGTGGCTAACTGAAGCACTATTTTCCACCGGCGACGACGCGCACAACTATGGACAAGATGGCGAACAAGATGAAAGTAGACGCGGGAACGCGCAAGCGCAATGTCAGAACGCCTCGGTCGGTAACAGCGCGAAATTTAAACCCGCAAGTGAAAGTCACCAAAAACGACAAGATTTTCGTAAAAGTCGAAGAATACGTGTGGGAAATGGGTCAACGCGAATGGAGACATTTGCTCCCCATGGATTCTTATTCAATTTTAACACGAAAACACAAAACAAACGTTGCCTGATTTTTTTATTTCAAAATGGCGAATGACGTGTGATCACTGATCAGCTGCACGAGATTTGTCGCTCCGTCTTATTTATAGATTTAAATTTCCGGAGACACTGGTCCTTTTATATTTAGAAAATGACTCAGGCCACATGCTATGATTTATGTTGTGTAAAATTTTGAAATATGGTGTATTTTTGGTTGCCTATATAAAACGAACGTTAACAAACACATGATAATTATAATGACTAAAATCGCATTTCTTCTGTCTTATTAGCTTATTACAGTGGAACTGGAACGTCAAATTTTGTTACAAATAACTACAACTTATAAATTTCCTTTGTTATTGTGCATACAATCATGTCAATCATGCACCTGTACAAATGACATTTCCGTGTCATACGCCCCTCCCTTAAGATAGATGGAGCCACAGAAAATAAATCCCATCTAATAAACTAACTTATTTTTAAAAGCTACTTTTCGAGTCACTCAACATATTTGTGAAACCATACAAATCTACCGGGTGACCAACACAAGAATTAGCTACAATCATTAATAGTGACCCGGTATTTTTATCGCCATCTTTTATCTATCTTGGTGTCGGAATTTGGCGGGAAATCGCTTTCAAACGGAACGAGATATAGCTAATGTAAATAGATTGATTAATGTTACCTCTAATCTAATCGACCTGATTTTTATGTAACTGTGAAGTACTTCCGCTAACTGTTTATCTCAAATATGTAGAGGTAAAACGATTAAGATAAGGACTTATTTATTTACTTTTATGTTGACTAGTTTAAGGACTATTTTTATTAAACTTTTTCCTTTATTGGAATTTATGGAAACCCTGCTATGACAAGCAATTTTTTTTTCTGTGTTTGATACGCTATAATATGCAAATAAACTTCATTATAACATAATTAACTACCGAGTGACTATTAATGCTTGTGATTTATTTTTTGTCGTCTTTATGTAAAGTCAATTATAGTGGAGTAATATTTAGAAACGTTCGTCAATTTTTTTCTCTTTCTCTGCTAAATACCTTTAGTGTATTTTCTCACTCACTCTAATCAAAATTTTGGATAGTGAATGATTTTTAACGAAAGGAAAATCATTCAACCCAGGGACTTTTAAATTTATGTCGTTTACAAAATTTGAAATATTAATATATTAAGACCCACCACTGACCCGGAAATGACCGGCATTCAGGCAAGACTTCTATCATTACGGGTACTAAGACCAAGTAATGATATAATATATATATAATTATTAAATAAGATAATAGATAATTTTAAATATTGAAATATGGTTGCCATTCATTATTTATTTATTTATTTATCCTCTGCAAAAATTTGATGACGTCATGTCATAATTATGCTCAGTAAATCCTATCTAAAATGTGCAAAATGTTACAGTTTATCACTTTCTAAGATATGACTGATTTGGAAAATAACATATCTTCTAAGAAAATAAATGGCGGGAGTGGGGCTAGTACTTGCTAGGATAAGACTGATTTAGAAAATAATATACCTTCTAAAAAATAAAGGGCAGGAGTTGGGGCTAGTGCTTGCTAAGATAAGACTGATTTTGGCAAATGATATAATCTTTAAGAAAAAAGTTGATTAATTGTTTCCGCTTTTTAAGTTTGTCGATTTTTAGTTTTTCAGTGTTTCAATCTTTCGTTTCGTTAGTTCTTCGATTTGAAATTTTCCTATTTTATCGATTTTTTCAGATTTTTATTTTTTCAATTTTATGATTTTTCAATTTTCCCTTTCTACAATTTCAGCAAAAAAAGCAAATTTATTAAAAATGATATTTTGAAAAATTGCAAATAAAAGATCGTAGATTATTTTTTCTGATAGACTGCATAAAATTTATAATTTTAAATATCAAAAAATTGACAATTCGTATAAATGAAAAACTGAAAAATTGTAAACTTGGAAACCGAAAAATTGAAAAAGCGCCAGATTAAAAAGCGTAAACTAAAAATCGGAGAGCTGAAAGATCGAAAAATTGAATCTAGTAAAAATTGAAAAATCGAAAAACTGGAAAATAAAAAAAATAAAAATTTGGAAAATTGAAAAATCGACAAATTGAAACTAGAGAACCAAAAAACCAAAAAATTTTAAAATCGAAAACTTGCAAAAACGAAAAATTGAATAATTAAAAACTGAGAAGTCGAAAAATTGAAAAGTTCAAGACTGAGAACTCGAAAAATTGAAAAATCCACAAATTAAAAATTTTTGTTTCTCACTTGTTTCGATTTTTCAATTCTTCATGTCCTCAATTTTTCGATTTGCAATTTTTCGTTTCGGTTTTTATTTTCTTTATTTTTTCAATTTTTCGGTTTTTCAATGTTCTGATTTTGTAGTTATTCTTTTTTCAATAGGAAAATTTTCAATTTGGATTCTTCAATTAACCGATTTTCAAATTTTCGATTTTTTAGTTTCTTACTTTTTCAATGTTTCAGCAAAAAAAAACAAATTTATTAATACTGATATTTTGAAAAATTGCAAAAAGGGAGATTTTAGATTATTTTTTCTGATAAGACTGTATAAAATTGAAAAATGGTAACAATAAAAATGTGGAAAATTGAAAAATCGACAGATTAAAACTAGAGAAACAAAACACAGAAAAATTTAAAAATCAAAAATCTGCAACAACGAAAAATTGAATAATTAAAAACTGATAAATCGAAAAATTGAAAAATCTAAGAATTGAGAAATTGAAAAATCGACAAATTAAGAATCATTTTTGAATTTTTAAATATTCGAATCAAAAAATTAAAAATTTCGAAATTGTAAAATTAAAAAATCAAAAGAAAAACGACAAAGTATAAGACGAAAACTTTGGAAAATCTGAAAATTGGAAATAAAGAACTTGCAAAAAATTGCGAAACTTAAAAATCGAAAAAAGTGCGAAATATTGTAAAATCAACATATTGAAAATTAAAGAAATCGGAAAATCGAATAATTTAGAATTCCAAAAACTGCAAAATTGGAAAATTTAAGAATTGTAAAATCGAAAATTGAAAAATCAAAAACTGAATAAACGAAAAATTATAAAATCGAAGTAAACATTGAAAAAACAAAGGAAATGAAGAAACGAAGAATTGTGATATAAAATCGAGAAAATGAAAAATAAAAATCAAGAACTTAAAAAATTGAGGAGACAAAAATTGAAAAAATCTAAAAATCGAGAAATCGAACAATTGAAAAATCGACAAATTAAAAATCATTTTTGAATTTTTAAATTTTCGAAAAATGAAGAACTTCGAAATTGTAAAATTAAAAAATCAAAAGAAAAACAAAAAGTATAAGACGAAAACATTGGAAAATCTGAAAATTGGAAATGAAGAACTTCAAAAATTGAAAAAACGACAAATTGAAACATGGAAAGACTAACACACTTAAAATCGAAAAAGTGCGAATATTGTAAAATTGAAAAATTGTAAATTAAAGAAATCGGAAATGACTAGTACTTGCTAAGATAAGATTGATTTTGGCAAATAATAATATACACAAGGAAAAAAAATCGAGAAATCGAAAAATCTAAAATTTAAAAAATTGATACATTAAAATGTTGAAAAATTAAAAAATCGAGAACTCGAACATCAAAAATCGAAAAAGTGAAAAATCTAAAATTAAAAAAGCGAAAAGCCGAAAAAGCGAAAATAGAAAAATCGGAAAATAGATGAATCGAAAAACTGAAAATTCGAGAAGTTGAAAAATTCCAAGTCTGAAATCATGAAAAATTAAGGGGAAATCGAAAAATTGGAACACCCAAAAACCGAAAAATCGAAAATCCGAAAAATCGAAAACCGGAGAAATTGAAACATTGAAAACCTGAAACACCAAGAAACGAGACATCGAAAGATCGAGAAATTGAAGAATTGAAAAACTGAAACATCGAAAAATTTATAAAACGAAAAATCGAATTTTTTTTTAAAAATGATAAGTTAAAAATATCGAAAACTTCAAAAATCGTGAACTCGAAACATCAAAAAATTAAAAAACCGAATAGCCGAAAAATCGAAAAAAGTGAAAAATCGAGAAATTAAAAAATTCCAAATCAGAAATTATGAAAAATTGAGAGGAAATCGAAAAATTGGAACATTAAATAACTGGAAAATCGAAAATCCGAAAAATCCCAAAACTGAAACATCGAGAAACGAACCATCGAAAGATCGAGAAATTGAAAAATTGAAAAATCGAAAATCAAAAATTGCTCAGAAAATTGAAAAATCTCAAATTTAAAACTTCGAAAAATTGAAAAATAGAAATGTTGAAGAACCGAAAAATCGAAAAATCTTTTTTAAATTTACGTCTACAAAAATTGAAATATTAATATAACTATTAAATAAGATATTAGATAATTTTAAATATCAAAATATGGTAAATCGCCACTCATGATGTATTTATTTATCCTCTCCAAAAAATTGATGACGTCATGTCAGAATTATGCTCACTAAATCCTATCTAAAATATGAAAAATGTTATAGTTTATCACTTTCCAAGGTATGACTGATTTGGAAAATAACATACCTTCTAAGAAAATAAAGAGGGGAGGGTGGGGTGGTATTTCTTAAGATAAGACTGATTTTGGTAAATGATAGAGTCTTTGAGAAAATAGAGGGTGGGTGGGCGGGGATAGTACTTGCTAAGAAAACACTGATTTTGGCAAATGATAAAACTCTAAGAAAAAAAATCGTAAAATCGAAAATTTAAAAAATTGATAAATTAAAACATGGAAAAATTCTAGAATCTAGAACTCGAAACATCAAAAAATCAAAAAATTTAAAAATCTAAAATAAAAAATCGAAAAATCGAAAATTGAAAAATCGGAGAATTGAAGAATCGAAAAACTGAAAAATCGATGAGTTGAGAAATTCCAAATCTGAAATGATGAAAAATGGAGGGGAAATCGAAAAATTGGAAAGTCGAAAATTCGAAACATCGAAAAACTGAAACATCAAGACACATCGAAAGATCGAGAAATCGAAAAATTTTAAAAACGAAATATCGAAAAATTTTAAAAACGAAAAATTGAAAATCGAAAATCAAAATTGCTCAGAAAATTGAAAAATTTAAAATTAAAAACTTCGAAAAAGTGAAATATAAAATTGTTAAAGAAGTGAAAAATCGAAAAATCTTTTTTAAATTTGCGTCGCTTACAAAAACTGAAATATTAATATAAACCTTAAATATATCGAAATATGATTAATCGCCACCCATAATTTATTTCTTTATCCCCTCCAAAAACTAAATGACGTCATGTCATAACTATGCTCAGTAAATCTTTTCTAAAATGTGCAAAATGTTATAGTGTATCACCATATGACTGATTTGGAAATTAACATACCCTCAAAAAAATAAAGGGCGGGTGGGCGGGGCTAGTACTTGCTAAGATAAGACTGATCTTGGCAAATGAGATACATTTTAAGAAAATAGAGGGCGGGTGGGCGGGGTTAATACTTGCTAAGATAAGACTGATTTTGGCGAATGATATACCCTCTAAGAAAAAAAAGCGGGTGGGCGGGGCCTACAAAAATTAACACAAAAAAGCAAAATGTAAGCCCGCCCACCCACTCGATCTCGATTGTGATGATTATTTTATTCTTAGCAACCTAAACCACGTTTAAAATGGGAAATTTTTGTAAGGAAATATGGATTTTTATCGGCACATTTTATCCACCTTGGTGTCGGAATTCGGCGGGAAATCACTTTCAAACGGAACGAGATATAGCTTATATTATGTAAATAGGTAGATTAATGTTACCTCTAATCTAATCGACCTGATTTTCATGTAACTATGAAGTACTTCCACTAACTGTTTATCTCAAACATGTAGAGGTAAAACGATTAAGATAAGAACTTAATTGTTTACTTTTATTTTGACCAGTTTAAGGATTATTTTTATTAAACTTTTTTCATTATTGATATTAATAGTAACCATTCTATGTTTTTGACTGAATTGGAAAATTACATACCCTCTAAGAAAAGTGAAAACAAAAGGTGGGGTTAGTACTTGCTAAAATAAGAGTGATTTTGGCCAATCATATACCCTCTAAGAAAACAGAGGGCGGGTGGGCGGGGCTAGTACTTCGTAAGATTTCCGTCAAGAATGATAGATTTCTAGTATAATAAAACGTGTTTTAATTTTTGATGAAAATGTTGTCAAAATAATAATTATTTTAAATTGTGAATGTTCTTCTCTTCAATTTTTCGATTTTACAATTCTCCGATTTCAGGTCTTCTAGTTTTCAATCTTCAATTTTACAATTTTTGGAATTTTTCAGTTTTTATATTTAAATTTTTCTTAACTAATTATTTAAAATTTGTTATACGGGGTGACTAAAAAAAATTAATAATGAAGAAATTTGGAGACCTAGATTTCTTTGACTGTACTTAGGGAACGAAGGAAATTCTGTATAAATAACTTTAGACAAAAAAATACTTAATTGAAGCAAGTGCTAAAAAAATAAAAACAAAACTACTGAGTCCACATCAAAAAAAGTTTGATGTTCGTCAATTTTTATCGAATTTATTAAAAATTAGTAACTCAATAACTGTGCACGTAACTTGGCTGTAACAGCGTACGCCTATTTTGACAAGCAATAAATACACTGCAAAATCATCGACCTTGCGATGAGTGATCAAACATGGCTGTAACCACAAATATTTGAAAGTATATCAAGCAAAAACATGTGTCTAAATTATAATAGCTTCAAGTAGGTGTACGTCTGCTCTGTTTATTTACACAAGATGAGTGTTTAATGCACATTTTTCATTTCAGCGTTTACACGTCAGAATTTAATATCAAATTTATTGCACCGAGGGAATTTAAAAATACCTAGTTCCTACGCCCAACAATAGATGGCTCCTTAATAGCCCACAATTTTTACCTTGAAATAGGAAAAGCAGCCGTTGCGCTGTACTAATTGCTCAGTAATTACGAGCAGTTACGACTTAAGCCAAACTAAAAATACCCCGTTCTCTGAAATTCTTAATGCGGTAAAATGACGCAACTTGAAGTAATCGATAGACGCGCCGGCGAACCAAAATCCCATGGTCTTAGTAGCCCAAAAATAATATTTGGCAGTTAACACAATAGAATAATGCGCTACAATCAAGTATGAATGGGCGTCTTTATTAATAGAGTTAAGCCATGGGGACTCCAGAGGACGCAGACCGTGAGTAAAAACCCTCTTCTTGTACGTCACTTGTAACGAGCATTCCGTTTGTTGAGGTCAAGTTTTTATCTGTGGAACGTCAGATGTAACGATTTCGTGAATTTAATAAACTGATAAAATAATATTTTGAGTACAACACAAACATTATTTCGTGTTATGTTTAACATAGCTCAATTCACTCAATCAGTACGTGTTTACATTAGCTTGTAACATGGGTATATATTAAACCGCGAACTTAACTTTATCTTAAACTAATCTACTATTTTGCACCTGATAAAATTTTATTATACAGTGAACGCGATGGCCGGCGCTGGCTACGTGCTCGGAATCGACATCGGCACGACGTCGGTCAAAGTGTGTGTTTTCAACCCCCAGAATAACGAAATTGTCGCCCAGATCGGGAAGGACACCCAGTCGAACGTGCCCAGCGACCAGGGCATCGACGGGAACAAGCAGGACGTGCCCAAGATCATCTCCGCCCTGAATACGTGCGTCGCCAAATTGCAAAAGAATCTCCTCCAACACGTAAGTGCACTAGGAACAGGTGCGACACATTTTAAAATTAGTGCATGCCAAAAAAAAATAACTATCGAATTGTAAAAAATAAAAAGATGAAGCACGCTTTGAACCAAAATTTTTTTAATGTCACCGAAATTATAAATTAATTAATCGCAGGTAATTGAGATGACGTCATCGATTTTTCGAAATTTTGGTTTTGCGTTTTTTTTTTGAATCTGAATATATTTCCAGTTGATTGGTTAATCGTCGTAATGGCCTGGTTTATATATAAGTTTATGACCACTTAATCGCATGTACGATGTATTAATACATTTATTGTAGGTATATTTTCATACCAAATAGAATATCTGATAGTGGAGCTGTGATTAAAAGATAGTAAACTGTAATAAGTAACGGCCTTTTTAATTTTGGGTGGTTGATTACGTCATACGCGATTTATTGTTATAAATAAGTTTATGGTATGTGCTCAAAATTTTACGCGTCCCAATAAAACAAATCACAATTTCTTAGTCGGAGTTAGTTGTTATTGCACATAAAACGTTTAAGTAAATGTACAGGGTGTTTCACCCAAGACGTACTCTAGACATAAAAATAACTAAAAAGAAATCCAAAAAGTGTTCTAAATATTTATTTGCTATTTATTATTTTACTGAGCAGCTGTGATTAAATGCATTTATTTGCTGTTCCGCTTAATTATTTTCTCGTGTTTGCTATAAAAATAAACTGTGTGCAACTGTGTAATAAAGCCGATATTCTTCTCTCTTACGCACTGGAAACTTTTATTTCTGGACTGACCATATAAAAATCGATTGAAAGTGGTGTCGATTAGCGTTTTTCAGAATGAGCTAGTTACAATAAATGTAATGGTGTGTTTATTTGAACTGGTAAACATAGTTTATTTTTATTTTAGCATTAATTTAACGGAAGGTAAAGTTGTTTACTCGTCAATTTTAGCAATAATGAAGCATCGATTAATTTTAATGTAAATAATGCTGGCGACGTTTGTTAGTACTTATATAAAGTTTCAATAATGAAAATTTTGAATATTTTTTGTGACTGATCGAAAGTAAGTTTTGTTTCGTAACGTTTACGTAATAGGTATGACGAAAATATTTTCGTAAACGTTAGAAACCACATACTAATTTTCGTGGTAGGATCTGAAGGCCGTAGACTTATTGACTCTTGCGTTGCACGTTGCGTTTAGTTAATATTCAGCTTAATTATGTAGTGTTGTCTCCATTATCACTCATTAAAACCTTGAACTTATGAAAGCGAGCAAAAAGTGTTCTATGATCCCAACAAATAAATAAATTGTGGAACGATGATGAAAAAAAACCTTTAAAAATGGTCGAAGGTTGGTTGGTTGATTAAACTCTGCAAATCAAAAAATTAAAAATTTTAAAAATTGGAGAATTGAAAAATCCGGCAATTGAAAAACTCCCAAAAAATTGAAAAACTAAAAAAACAAAAAACTGAAATTCGAAAATCAAAAATTGTTCGGTAAATTGAAAAATCTAAAATTTAAAACTTCGAAAAACTGAAAAGTAGAAATGTTGAAGAACTGAAAAATCGTGAAATCATCAAATACTGGAAAAGTTGAAAAATCTAAAACTGAAAAATCGAAAAGCCGAAATGTCGAAAATTGAAGAATCGGAAAACTGAAAATAGAAAATTGAAAAATTCCAAAACTGAAATGACGAAAAATTGAACGGAAATCGAACAATTGCAATATTGAAAAACCGAAAATCGAAAGATCGAGCAATAGAGACATCAAAAAATTGAAAAATCCGGAAATTGAAAAATTCCCAAAATGTTGACAAATTGAAAAATCGAGATATCTAAAAAACGAAAAATCGAATTCAAGAAACCGATTCAAAAATTGTAAAATGGAAAAACTGAAAAATGTAAAATTTAAAAAATCGAAAAATTGAAAAATCAATAAACTGAACAATCAAAAATTTAAAAATTCGAAAATTTGAAAAAGAAATATGGAGAACTGAAAAATCGAAAAACTGAAAAATCTAAAATTTTAAAAATCGATGAATTAAAATATCAAAAAATTTAAAAATCGAGAAATCGAATGAAAAACTCGAAAAATTGAAAAATCTAAAATTAAAAAATCCAAAATTCAAGAATCGAAAAACTAAAAAATCGCAAACTGAAAAATTGGAACATTGAAAGATCGAGAAGTCGAAAAATTGCGAAATCGAAAAATAGCCCAAAATCGATAAATCGGAATATTGAAAAATTGAGAAATTGAACAATGGAAACATCGAAATCTCGAAAAATCGAAAATTGAAAAACTGAAATATCGAAAAATTGAAAAATCGAAAGATCGAGCAATCAAAACATCAAAAAATTGAAAAATTCCCAAAATGTTGAAAAATTGAGAAATCGAAAATTTGAAAAATCGAGAAATCTAAAAAATGAAAAATCGAAATCAAGAAATCGATTCAAAAATTGTGAAATTAATGGAAAAACTGAAAAATCGAAAAATGTAAAATTTAAAATAGTGAAAATTTGAAAAAAGAAACATCAAAGAACTGTAAAATCGAAAAATCTAAAATTGATGAATTAAAATTTCTAAAAATTGAAAAATCGAAACATCAAAAAATCGAACAACTGAAAAATCTAAAATTAAAAATCGAAAAGCCGAAAAGTCGAAAATTGAAAAATCGAAAAAGTGAGGAATCAAAAAACTGAAACATCAAGAAACGAAACAGCGAAAGATCGAGAAGTCAAAAAATTGTGAAATCGAAAAATAGCCCAAAGTTGATAAATCGAAAATCGAAAAATTGAACAATCGAAAAATCGAAATCTCAAGAAATAGAAAAATTGAAAAACTGAAAATTCGAAAAATTGAAAAATTCCCATAATGTAGAAAAATTAAAGAATCGAAAATCTGAAAAATCAAAAAATCTAAAAAATAAAAAATCGAAATCAATAAACCGATTCAAAAATTGTGAAATGGAAAAACTGAAAAATCGAAAAAAAAAAAATTAAAAAAATTGAAAATTTGAAAAAAGAAATATCGAAAAATTGGAAAATCGAAAAACGAAGAAATCGAAAAATAGCCCAAAATCGATAAAGTGAAACATCGAAATCTCCAGAAACTGAAATATTGAAAAATCGAAAAATTTATAAAACGAAAAATCGAAAAATTTAAAAAACGAAAAATCGAAATATTTAAAAAACGAAAAAGTGAAAAACGAAAATCAAAAATTGTTCAGAAAATTGAAAATCCAGAAATCGAAAAATCTACAATTTTAAAAATTGAAAAATTAAAATATCAAACAATTGAAGAATCGAAAAATTGAAAAATATAAATCTTAAAAATCGAAAGTCGAAAAATGGAAGAATCGAAATGTTGAAAAATCGCAAAACTAAAATATCTAAAGATTGAAAAATCCCATAATTGAAACATCAGTAAATTGTGAAATATAAAAAAAATCAAAAAATTAAAACATCGAAAAACTGAAAAATCGAAGTCGAAAAACCAGAAAATTGATTGATTGAAAAATTGACAAATCGAAAAATTGAAGTTTTGGAGACGTAAAAACGGAAAAATCGAAAAGTCAAAAATTTACAAACGTCAAAAATTCAAAAATTCAAAAATTTAAAATACAAAAATTGTAAAATCTTAAAACTGAAAAATCGGAAAATTGAGAAACTGAAATAAAAAATTGAAAAAAGGGAAAATTGTTTATTTCAAGTATCCAGAAATTGAAGAATTGAAAAAAAAATGGAAAAATTGAAAATCGAAAAATACAAAACTGAAAAATCCGAAAACTGAATATCGAAAAACTGAGAAATTGAAAAATTGAGAAATCGAAAAGTCGAAAAATCGAGAAACTGAAAAGTTCCAAAACTAAAATGACGAAAAATTGGGAGGAAATCGGAGATTGGAAAATTCCAAAAATCGAGAAACTAAAACATCAAGAGATCGAGAAATCGAAAAGCCGAGATGTCGAAAAATTGATAAATCGAAATAGCCCAAAATCGATAAATCGAATCATTGAAAAATTGAGAAATTGAACAATCGAAAAATCGAAATCTCAGAAAATTGGAAAATTGAAACACTGAAAAAACGAAAAATTTAAAAAATGAAAAATTGAAAATCAAAAATTGTTCAGAAAATTGAAAAATCTAAAATTTAAAAGTTCGAAAAACTGAAAAATAGAAATGTTGAACTGAAAAATCGAGAACACGAAAAATCTAAAATTTTTAAAATTGAAAAATTAAAATATCGAAAAATTGAAGATACGAAAAATTAAGAAATCGAGAAATCAAAACATTAAAGAGCCGAAAAATTGGATTAGAATCTTAAAAATCGAAAGTCGAAAAATGGAAGAATCGAAATATTGAAAAATTCCAAAACTGAAATCAATAAATTGTGAAATCTAAAAAAAAATCAAAAAACTGAAAAATCAAAAAAATTAAAATATCGAAAAACTGAAAAATCGAGTCGAGAAACCAGAAAATTGATTAATTGAGAAATTGAAAAATTGGAGACGTCAAAAACGGAAAAATACAAAAATTGAAACATGGAAAAATCGAAATATTGATAGATTCCAAAACTGAAATATCGTAAAATTTAAGAATTTAAAAATTGGAAAAGACTGATCAGACATCGGTAAATTAGGAAATCGGAAAGTTGAAAAATAAATCTGAAAAATCGACAAATCGAGAAGTCGGAAAATCGGAAAATTTAAAAATCAATTAATCAAGAAATTGGGAAATCGACAAGTTGAAAATTTAAAACGTCAAAAATAAAAAATTCGAAAAGTTGTAAAATTGATGAAAGATCGGAAAATTGAAAAACTGAAATGAAAAATTCAAAAAAAGGGAAATTGATAATTTGAAGGATCGAGAAATTGAAGAATCGAAAAAGTGAATAATTGAAAAACTGAAAAATCGAAAAACCAAAAAATTGATCAATTGAGAAATTGGGAAATCGATAATTAAGAGACGTCGAAAACTGAAAAATCCAAAAATTGCAGAATCGTAAAACTGAAATATCGTAAAATTGAAAAATCGAAAAAAAATTGCAGAATCGAAACATAGAAAAATCCCAAGACTGAATCATCGGTAAATTGAGAAATCGAACAGTTGAAAATTCAAAAACCTGAAAAATCTTGAAAAATTGAAAAATCGAAGAATCGAAAATCTGAGAAATTGACAAATCGAAACATTAAAAAATCGAAAAGTTGTAAAATCGTAAAACTGAAAGATCTGAAAATTGAGAAACTAAAATGAAAAATGGAAAAAAAGAGAAATCGAAAATTTGAAATATCGAGAAATTGAAGAATCGAAAAAGAAGTGGAAAAATTGAAAGTCGAAAAATAAAAATCTGCAAACTCCCAAAATTAAGTACTTATCGAAAAATTGAAAAATCGAAAGGTGAATAATGGAGAAATCGAAAAGCCGAAAATTGGAAAAATTGAAAAATCGAAAATATCTACAATTTTGATGTCTTTTTTTCCAAAAGTCTAGATGTCTACTTAGGATACAGAAGTTCAGGACTATGTTCCTTTTTAACATTTAAATTCTGATTGACGATTTACCATTCTTTGAAAGAAAGGATTCAATTTTGCAGTTTCAAAGCAGGCAAATTTAGGTTAGCGCTTTATCATCTACATGCCATTATTGCCATTGCTAACATACGTACAAAATTTGACAACAATCGGTCCGGTTGTTTCCGAGATTATCTGTCTAATAAAAATCCTGAGACGAAAGATAGACAGACAGACAAACGGAAACGGGAAACCGATTTTTTCGTACTCTAGCGGTCATGAAACGTCAAGAAAATATGAAAAATACTTATGCTCGGGAAGTAAAAAGATGACAAAAACGAATAAAAGAATATTGCGACGACATCTTGAAAGAGACTAATTTAGAAGTTGCAGTTCATAATATGTATGTATATAATATTATAACTTTATTCATGTCATTGAATTTTGTATACCTTAAATAAAGAATTAACTTACTATTTTAAATATTTCCGGTAAAAAAATATATACATATTATTTTAACAATAATGACACATCTCATCTTCAGATCACAAAAATCGGAATATGCGGCCAAATGCACGGAGTCCTCTTCTGGAACCAAGGAAAAGCCTGGGAAAGAATCGAAAAAGACAACAACTTAGTTCGCTACGACGTAGTCCAAGAAGAAGTATCAGCCCTATACACCTGGCAAGACAGCCGCTGCGACCCCGCTTTCCTAGCAACTTTACCCGTCCCTCAATCCCACCTGAGAGTCTACACGGGATTCGGTGCCGCCACTATTTTCTGGATGGCCAAAAATAAGTGAGTTTTGTAACGTTTGATATAAACCAGAACCGACTTTTATTACCTCTTGGGTCAATTTAGTTACTCATAGTTTACGTCTGCGTTTATAGTCAGTAGCGGCGATCCGGGAGCTTGACCATCACATTAATTAAATTAAATTAAATTCAGGCCTGAGAAGCTCAAACGTTATAACTGCTCGGGGACTATCCAGGACTTCGCCGTCGCCATGTTGTGCAACCTCCCCAAACCCATAATGTCCGACCAACTGGCCGCAAGCTGGGGCTTCTTCGACTGCGTAAACCACCGCTGGAACGAAGAAATCCTCCAGGAAACAAATTTTCCGACGTCGCTTCTTCCAGAAATCAAGCTGAGTGGCGAAATCGCGGGCCACTTGGCTGATAACTGGCACAGCATCCCCAAGGGTACCCCGATTGGAATCGGTTTAGGGGATCTCCAGTGCTCCGTTTTGTCTACCATAGAGACGCAAAAGGACGCCGTTTTGAACGTGTCCACGTCTGCACAAATCGCTTTCGTGGCAGAAGATTATAAACCCCACTCGGGTCCACCGACGGTGAACACCGTGGATTACATTCCATACTTCAAGAACAAGTACCTGGCGGTGGCCGCGTCCCTCAACGGGGGAAATTCGCTGGCCACCTTCGTCAAAATGGTCCAGCAGTGGACTATGACGCTCGGGTTTTCGGTACCACAATGTAAGTATTGGGAGTGCGTTACCGAATAATTTAGCTTGTGTTTTTAGCCAAAGTTTGGGAGAAGGTGATCAGTTTGGGGCTCGAGGAAAGTAGCGTGTCGGAGTTGAGGATTTCGCCAACGTGTTTGGGGGAAAGGCATGCCCCCAATGTCACGGCTTCGGTTACCAATATAAATATCGGGAATCTGGATATGGGGAAAGTTTTTCGGGCTCTTTGTAACGGGTTGGTGGTGAATTTGCACAGTATGATGCCCCGCGATGTGTTACAAAAAGCGAATATCACCAGGATTGTCGGGAATGGGTCAGGTTTGTCTAGGAACAAAGTCCTGCAGAATGAAGTATTGAGTCTCTATAAGTTGCCTTTGGTTTTTACCACGGGGGGCGATGCCGCTAAAGGTGCCGCCATGGCTATGAATCTATCAACTGTTAGTCTTTAATGCATATCAGATCTATTTAATTTTATAGTTTTATAGTTAGGGTAATAAGCTTGAAATGTTCGTCCATTAGTGGCCTGTGCTATCCATAAGACTGGAGTTTATATAGAAACGTGAATAAAATTTGCGAATGTGTGCTGTCAGTTTTGTTTTTATTAGGGTTATTATTGATAATCATCAATATTAGATTACCTGGATTGAAACACCTTTGAACTATCACAGTTTTGTTTATTCAATACTTTCCCGTTGTTTCCACTCAGCTTTCAGTTTATTCAACTTCTCTCTCCTTCTATCTTTATCCATCCTTTTCTTACTCTCAACTGCTTTAATTTGAGCCTGCACACTACTGTCTCCATTTAGTAAGTTATCAAGTTTCGTAATTAAATAATCGCGCGCTTTTTTTCTATTTTGATCCAACGATCGCGTCTCATGACATTTAACTACAATACCTGAAACACATATTATTATTTAGAAAAATAAATAATTATTAACAAAACAACCGCACCGGTTGGAATATGTTTAAGAACAACACAATTCGACGTTTTATTAGTTGCTTGGCCCCCAGGGCCCGAGCCCCTCACGAACTGTTCTTCCAAATCACTTTCACTAAGTTGGGGGACCCTTGAATAATCAACATGCTTATTTCTGATTAACCTAAGTAAAACCCCAGTAGTACGAATCATTTGACGCTGCGTCTAATGAGTAAAACGGCCCCTTTCTACGATGAAATTAAAATAATTGCAATTCAAAAAATAAAATGGAAACCTAACCTCAAAATTAAAGCTGATGTCTGACTGCTCCTGCAGGCCCCGATTTTTTCTAAATTCGTACCGGATTCGTTCACAAAAGTAGTCTTTGTCGGTGAGTTTCAATTCTTGACCGTATCTCAATAAATTTTTGTATAATTTGAGCACGTCGAGTTTGGTTATGTGAGACATGTCGGTAATACAGGTCGCAATGGCGCAAAATGTGTTTGTTGCTGCGTTTTTCTGAAGAGGGCGCTTCGCCAACTAAACAAATCACGTAATAAAAAAAATGATTAATTGACTGCAAAATCCAATTAAATTAATTCGAAATTTCGGAAATTTTCGTTTCATATTCTAAATTTTGAGCAAAGTAATGGAAAATTTTAGAAATTATCACTTTTTGACTTGAAATTTTCTTTGGTTGTTTTCTCGAAAATTGAACTGAATTTATTAGAAGCTTGAACATAATGAATACAAAACTTGAAATTACAAACGTAAAACTTCTAATTTTCGTATCAAAACTTCCACCTATTTAATCGATATTTCCATTTTCTATTGCAGAAATGTTCATTCTCAACATGAAATTTCGACTAATTAAATGTAAATTTAGATTAACTAACTCGAAATTTGAACTTATTGATTTATTTCCAAATTCTGATTTATTCACTAGAAAATCCTGTTAAACTAGTTCGAAATTTCCACTTATGTTTCGAAAATTTTCATTTTATATATCCAAATTTTGACTCATTCTTTCGAATTTTGTTTATTAACACGAAATTTTCACTTATTAACTTGAAATTTTCTAGAAAATTGAACTAAATTTCTTAGAAGTTTGAACATAATTGATTCCAAACTTGAAATTACAATCGTAAAACTTCTAATTTTCGTGTCAAAATTTCCACCTATTTAATCGACATTTCCATCTATTCTACAAATTTTCAATTCTCAACATGAAATTTCGACTAATTAAGTATAAATTTTGATTAGTTACCTAGAAGTTTGAACGTATTTTCCATTTATTTGGAAATTTTGATTCATAGACTGGAAAATCCAATTAAACTAGTTCGAAATTTCCACTTATGGTTCGTAAATTTTCGTTTAATATCTCCAAAATTTGGCTAAAGTAACAGAAAATTTTCACTCATTCTTTCGAATTTTGTTTATTAACACGAAATTTTCACTTTTTAACTCTTGAAATTTTCTAGAAAATTGAACTAAATTTCTTAGAAGTTTGAACATAATTAATTCCAAACTTAAAATTGCAAATGTAAAACTTCTAATTTTCGTGTCAAAATTTCCACCTATTTAATCGACATTTCCATCTATTCTACAAATTTTCAATTCTCAACATGAAATTTCGACTAATTAAGTGTAAATTTTGATTAGTTAACTAGAAGTTTGAACGTATTTTCCATTTATTTGGAAATTTTGATTCATAGACTGGAAAATCCAATTAAACTAGTTCGAAATTTCCACTTATGGTTCGTAAATTTTCGTTTAATATCTCCAAAATTTGGCTAAAGTAACAGAAAATTTTCACTCATTCTTTCGAATTTTGTTTATTAACACGAAATTTTCACTTTTTAACTCTTGAAATTTTCTAGAAAATTGAACTAAAATTCTTAGAAGTTTGAACATAATTAATTCCAAACTTGAAATTGCAAATGTAAAACTTCTAATTTTCGTGTCAAAATTTCCACCTATTTAATCGACATTTCCATCTATTCTACAAATTTTCAATTCTCAACATGAAATTTCGACTAATTAAGTGTAAATTTTGATTAGTTAACTAGAAGTTTGAACCTATTTTCGATTTATTTGGAAATTTTAATTCATTGACTGGAAAATCCATTTAAACTAGTTTGAAATTTCCACTTATGGCTCGAAAATGTTCGTTTCGAATTTCCAAAATGTGGCTAAAGTAACAGAAAATTTTCACTCGTTCTTTCGAATTTTAGTTTATTAACACGAAATTTTCTTTAATTGTTTTCTCGAAAATTGAACTGAATTTATTAGTAGCTTGAACATAATTAATACCAAAATTGAAATTACAAACGTAAAACTTCTAATTTTCGTGTCAAAATTACCACCTATTCAATCGATATTTTCATCTATTGCACAAATTTTCAGTTCCCCATATAGAATTTCAACTCATTATATGTAAATTTTGATTAGTTAACTAGAAATTTAAACTTATTTTTTGATTTATTTGGAAATTTTAATTCATTGGCTGGAAAATCGAAATAAAATAGTTCAAAATTTCCACCAATGTTTCGAAAATTTTCGTTTCATATTTCCAAACTTTGGCAGAAGTAACAGAAAATTTTCACTCATTCTTTCGAATTTTGTTTATTAACACGAAATTTTCACTTTATAACTCTTGAAATTTTCTAGAAAATTGAACTAAATTTCTTAGGAGTGTGAACATAATTAATTCCAAACCTGAAATTACAAACATAAAACTTGTCATTTTCGTGTCAAAATTTCCACCTATTCAATCGATATTTCCATCTGTTCTACAAATTTTCAATTCTCAATATGAAATTTCGACTAATTAAGTGTAAATTTTGATTAGTTAACTAGAAGTTTGAACGTATTTTCGATTTATTTGGAAATTTTGATTTTTTGACTGGAAATTCCAATTAAACTAGTTCGAAATTTCCACTTATGGTTCGTAAATTTTCGTTTAATATTTCCAAAATTTGGCTAAAGTAACAGAAAATTTTCACTCATTCTTTCGAATTTTGTTTATTAACACGAAATTTTCACTTTTTAACTCTTGAAATTTTCTAGAAAATTGAACTAAAATTCTTAGAAGTTTGAACATAATTAATTCCAAACTTGAAATTGCAAATGTAAAACTTCTAATTTTCGTGTCAAAATTTCCACCTATTTAATCGACATTTCCATCTATTCTACAAATTTTCAATTCTCAACATGAAATTTCGACTAATTAAGTGTAAATTTTGATTAGTTAACTAGAAGTTTGAACCTATTTTCGATTTATTTGGAAATTTTAATTCATTGACTGGAAAATCCATTTAAACTAGTTTGAAATTTCCACTTATGGCTCGAAAATGTTCGTTTCGAATTTCCAAAATGTGGCTAAAGTAACAGAAAATTTTCACTCGTTCTTTCGAATTTTAGTTTATTAACACGAAATTTTCTTTAATTGTTTTCTCGAAAATTGAACTGAATTTATTAGTAGCTTGAACATAATTAATACCAAAATTGAAATTACAAACGTAAAACTTCTAATTTTCGTGTCAAAATTACCACCTATTCAATCGATATTTTCATCTATTGCACAAATTTTCAGTTCCCCATATAGAATTTCAACTCATTATATGTAAATTTTGATTAGTTAACTAGAAATTTAAACTTATTTTTTGATTTATTTGGAAATTTTAATTCATTGGCTGGAAAATCGAAATAAAATAGTTCAAAATTTCCACCAATGTTTCGAAAATTTTCGTTTCATATTTCCAAACTTTGGCAGAAGTAACAGAAAATTTTCACTCATTCTTTCGAATTTTGTTTATTAACACGAAATTTTCACTTTATAACTCTTGAAATTTTCTAGAAAATTGAACTAAATTTCTTAGGAGTGTGAACATAATTAATTCCAAACCTGAAATTACAAACATAAAACTTGTCATTTTCGTGTCAAAATTTCCACCTATTCAATCGATATTTCCATCTGTTCTACAAATTTTCAATTCTCAATATGAAATTTCGACTAATTAAGTGTAAATTTTGATTAGTTAACTAGAAGTTTGAACGTATTTTCGATTTATTTGGAAATTTTGATTTTTTGACTGGAAATTCCAATTAAACTAGTTCGAAATTTCCACTTATGGTTCGAAAATTTTCGTTTAATATTTCCAAAATTTGGCTAAAGTAATAGAAAATTTTCACTCGTTCTTTTCAATTTTAGTTTATTAACACGAAGTTTTCACTGTTTAGCTTGAAATTTTCTTTGATTGTTTTCTCGAAAATTGAACTGAATTTATTAGAATTCTGAACATAATTAATACCAAATATGAAATTACAAACGTAAAATTTTTAATTTTCGTGCCAAAATTTCCACCTATTCAATCGATATTTTCATCCATTGCACAAATTTTTAATTCTCAATATAAAATTTCGATTCGTATGTAAATTTTGATTAGATAACAAGAAATTTAAACTTTTTTTTTTATTTATTTGGAAATTTTAATTCATTGGCTGGAAAGTCGAATTAAAATAGTTCAAAATTTCCACCTATGTTTCGAAAATTTTCGTTTTATATTTCCAAAATTTGGCTAAAGTAACAGAAAATGTTCACTCATTCTTTCAAATTTTGTTTATTAACACGAAATTTTCACTTCTTAACTCTTGAAATTTTCTAGAAAATTGAACCAAATTTCTTAGAAGTTTGAACATAATTAATTCCAAACTTGAATTTACAAACGTAAAACTTCTAATTTTCGTGTCAAAATTTCCACCTATTTAATCAACATTTCCATCTATTCTACAAATTATTAATTCTCAACATGAAATTTCGACTAATTAAGTGTAAATTTTGATTAGTTAACTAGAAGTTTGAACGTATTTTCGATTTATTTGGAAATTTTGATTTTTTGACTGGAAAATCCAATTAAACTAGTTCGAAATTTCCACTTATGGTTCGAAAATTTTCGTTTAATATTTCCAAAATTTGGCTAAAGTAATAGAAAATGTTCGCTCATTCTTTCGAATTTTAGTTTATTAACACGAAGTTTTCACTGTTTAGCTTGAAATTTTCTTTGATTGTTTTCTCGAAAATTGAACTGAATTTATTAGAAGTCTGAACATACCAAATCCGAAATTACAAACGTAAAACTTCTAATTTTCGTGCCAAAATTTCCACCTATTCAATCGATATTTTCATCTATTGCAGAAATTTTCAATTCTCAATATAAAATTTCGATTCGTATGTAAATTTTGAATAGATAACAAGAAATTTAAACTTTTTTTGATTGATTTGGAAATTTTAATTCATTAATTGGCTGGAAAATCTAATTAAAATAATTCAAAATTTCCACCTGTTTCGAAAATTTTCGCTTCATATTTCCAAAATTTGGCTACAGTAACAG